CTCAGAGATTACTTAAACGGCGAACCGATGTTTGGTGATGGACCCATTCGGTAGATGCGTTGATGCCTACACAGTAGGGTCTGTCAGGGGGGGTGTAACGGTGGACGGAGGTAAAATGTTGCACATAATTTCAATTGACTTTTTATTTATTTATTTTTATTTATTTTTAGGGATGATGACGACCTTCTCCCCTCTATTCCTTGGGCCCCTGCAGTTATAATAATGACTTAAGTAAAAATGTAGGAAACGAGAAAGGGGGTTGGTTTGGTGTTGGCATGACTGATTGATTGATGAATTTTACTAAGGAACTGTCCTTACCCTGTATACACTAAACCTATTGTAAAACCGAGCGCGCTGCGAACCGCACCCAAAAAAGGCTTAGTGCCAACTGTTCCTGACACTAACCCTGGACCACTGCCGCACTATACCGGAAGCAGCCTAGGCGACGTGCCCCATTTCACGCATAACGGAAAGAATGAATGATGCATCTCCATCTCTCTCTTCCCTCCCCCTAAAGGGCGATCGGAACGTCGTCATCAATTGTCCGATAACCATGGATGCTCATGTCGGATCATAAGACTGCCTTCCATGGATTGAATCAATGCAAGTAAATTCATTCGAACTCTACGCGAACGGGCTAACCCATCAGAATGAGCAGCCCCCCCCAATATATGTTAACCCCCTAAACGAATGTGAAGGGAGTCTCATCATTACTCCTTTGGGTTTGACTTTGCCAATCCTCTTCGTTGAGAGAACTAAACTCTCCACCCCGAACAACTTAGCCCACGGCCCTCCTCCCCTTTTGGCCCTGTTGCAGTTTCCTTGGGGGGGCAATCCACGCCCTAGGATTCTTTTAGCCCGTTCGTCCCCCCCCTTGTCGTTGGTCCTAGGATGACACGAGTTTCTCCGCTTTCCTCCGCAGCCTCGCGGTCATTTCTTAGCACGAGTTACAGGCATCGCTAGTCGGGAACACACGATCCTCATTCCCCTTGTGGGGACGATCGGCCCCCGACTGCCGTGCCATGTTTTCCTAGTTCCTGCCACTCTAAACTAAAGGGAGAAGTGGCGTGTCCGTGGTATGTGCTCCAAAGGCTAAGTTTCCCATTGATGCGCCCCATCCTGAACGACTTTCCTGACGAATTGATTGGACTAGTCATTGATACGCTCTGTCCGTATTTCTTCAATCATATTGCGCGTTGCTCCCTCGTTTACAGCTTGTCTTCTTTCTGAAAATAGTGCTCTCTTTCTTTCTTTCTTTCTCTTCTTGTTCCATTATTCATTCGTTTGGGTGATTTCCCCTTCTATACCACGCATTGTTTCGCATCGTTCGCTACCAAAACGATCTGAACACTGGATCGATCTATATCGCCTCCATACATTCTAACGGACAACGTGCTTTCCGGTGGCCCATTCGTTCCCCACTCGACCGCTTCTTTGCCCCCTTTCCCTTTTCACACGGTCCTCTTGTCTCACGGGCTTTCTCTCATCGACTACTAGATTTTTGTTGACCTGGTATTGATACCTTTCTAATGCAACACACACGCTCATAATGAGTGTCGTCGCCAGTAGACCCGACAGCGCTGTTGCGCCCTATTCGCCCATTCCTCATCAAAGCCATGGTTACAAGGATCCTTATACTGTGACGGTGCAGCCGGTCTCATCTCGCACGTCATCAATTTCTTCCTTTAAATCCAACTATAGTGTGTCGACAACCCCAACGGTGTACTCTCCAATCTCGCCTAGCCCTTCATATCATCTGTGCGATTCTGCGGCATCTTTGGATAAGATCTTGGAATCAAAGTTTAAACGCTTGCCTCTGGACGTACTCGATAATGTCTTAAACCAACTAGAAACATTGCATACTAGTTCAAACCAACAAGGGTGCTTAACATGCTACCAGCGCGACTTGCACGCACTGTCTCTAACTTGTCGGACATGGGAAAAGGTGGTTAGACCAAAGCTGTGAGTGTGATATCTTTTCAGACTAGCGATGGTACTCAAGCTGGAGATAAGTGCTGACCAGGTGACACGGTCAATTAGTTACAATCGTATCCATATTATTGGCAACGATTCCCCAGCCCAACTAAAGAAATATCGGATGAAGCGAGGAAGCCGGCTAAAACTCCTTCGACGCACTCTCCGGGAAAGAAAATTGCTGGCCAACCTTGTCCTGGAACTTCGTGTCCCCCAGATGGATTTGTTATTTACACAAGGGAAACAGAGCACCCAATGGCAAGAGTACAGAGATTTGGTAGCGTCGGTCGTTATGGTCTGCCCCAACCTAGAACGGCTGTTGGGCTTGAGTATTCCGTATAACCACCAATTTGATCGGCTGACCCACGCATTATCTACACGACGAAAGCTGAAGGAACACACATGGCTTTTAGGCGAGGCAGTTGATGTTTTGGAAGGATCGCCTCGCAGCACCTCTTGCCCTGGAAGTCTAGGACCTTCGCAGATGTTTGAGTTTTTGGACTATCACGCCTCGTGGACAAACTTGGAAACCCTGATGCTGCACGGAATTAGCGAAAATAATGCTCTTGAACCGAGCATCTTTCTGCGCATGTTCAGCCTCTTACCGTCGCTACGAAACCTGTGCATTGCAAATTTCGACGCAGAAGCCTTCGCGGATAGCACTTTGCTGTGCTTGCCACCATTGGAGTCGTTACGCTTGGAGAACCTGCCCGGCGTTACTGATACAGGACTATCGCAATACACGTCACGCACAGAATCCCATTCGCTCAAGTCGTTGGCCCTCGTTGAACAAAATATTGGATCCTTACTCGTGATCTCGAAGATCTTGGCATCCTTGCCGCAATTAGAACGGTTCAAGATCGTTCAGAATGACAAATGCCCCACCCTAGATAGCGATGGAATTGTCTTCCAACCGTTGTTCGCTTCGTCTACTCTCAAATACCTTCACTGGGATGTTGCTTGTCCCAATCCCAACACTGCCCTAACCAGGCTTGATTATGCTCCATTTGTGAAGCCCCCGAAACATATCAACACACCCAATTCTCATCTCGCTCAAAGCATTCTTTCGGACGGGTTTCCTCAGCTCGACGCGCTCCGCGCACCATCTGATATAGAGCCACCTGGTGTCCTTCAGGCCGTTTGTCAGCCCATTCCGAAAGGCCAGGCTCTTCTTCAGCCCGATCGGTATAGTCTACCTCGCAGCTCACACGGCTCTGTTAGCACACGACCAATGGCCTTACCGGCGGGAAATAACCTCACATCGGCTCGGATACGAGCTCAGACGTTCATTGACATGGCTGCGAAGGACACGGAAACTGGAATGAGGGTACTCGTCACGGACCATTCCGACGGTTATGTGCCGGACAATGCCTTGGAAGACATGTCAGATGACGATTTAGAGATGGACATGGATGAGTCTGTGGAATGGGATTTACCAGAGCGTCCGAGACACGATAAGTTGTCTGAGAATCGCGAGGGGCCTGTTATCGTGTGCGACTTTAGGATGCCCGCTTACATGGGCCGAGTGGGCAGCAGAAGGAAGGGACGAGATGTGTCCATTCCACGGTTCATCCTGCGCCCTGATATACAGGGACAAGAAGCTGATGGTGGCCTGGTTGGCTGGAAGCACATACTGGCTTCGAATCAGTCCTTAACATACGCCGCAGGCGTCGGGGTACACTGCTTCGGAAATAAGGGCACCACCAGCCCCCTGCCGGAGGAGCCTCCATCTCCTGCATCCACGACCGTCAGCCGATTTGGTTTCGGAGGCATCACCAGGAGCTCGACATTTGGCTCGAGCCCCAACACTCCCATAACGCCCTCGACACCGATGAGCCTCTCGTCGCCGACTGCACTTCCGTGGGACAAGGACACCTGCACCGGTTCTTGGAACTATAGCCATAAAAGTGGCCGAGATTGGTGGTCCCACATGGAACGAGAACGCCCGGGGCATATCAAGCTCATCGACGTCAAACAGCTGTTTTAGCCGGTTAACGATTCGCGCTCCACTGAAGCGATTTCACGATCATACCACTAATCTTACGCCCCAGACATGTCTTTCGGTCGTTCTCTCTTTCACAAAAACAAGCATGCAAGGCCCATGCGATACAACCGCGCGCGGCAATGGCGTTATGGATGAACAACGGAGGAATTCTTTTTTCTATATCTCGAACATCTTGGAAAGGTCTCCCTTCTCTTCCCTCTTAAACTCGATTTCACTTGCGTTCACCAAGAGTGCAACGACTCCTTCTATCCTTATTATGAGCACATACACTCAGACGTGAGAATCACCTCCGTCATACTGCACATATTTTTTTGTTTATTCCCTTTCTTTTCATTTCTTTATCTCTTTGACATAAGGCGCACCTACCGGATAAGGACGGAAATAATCTGGGACACGGTTGTCTAATTGGGTGGTTCTGGGTTATTCTTTCTTTACTATACCTTGTATTCTTTCATTTCTTTTTCTTTGTCCTGATCTTGCTACTCGATGAGTTGTATATTGTCAGCTGTATGTATGTACATGGACCAGACCACTACTGTAGGTCTACTCTAATGCTTAGTGTTATTATGAGTAATATGTGACTAGTTGATCTTTTTTCATGAATCTCGACTATAAATACCCTTTTGCAAACAGTAATCTTTCTAGGATACGTCTTGTAGTCTAATACTCTTTTAGCTTGACAGTCTTGGATAAGCTGATGATGTTTAGTTATTGTTGTTGGTGTTATAATCCAGGATATATACAAGGCAGTTCTGGGAGATGGACTATACTACTTTGTCATGGAACGATGAGAATATCGAGCCAACAGACCCAAGTGTAATTACGTTTATTTATCTAGGCCATTAACCGACCAAAAACAGGACATGACATGCTAACCATTTCGAAATTGACTTTCATCGGCATCCCGTACGTAGATACAAGGCATAAGAGGAAGAGGCAAAGTACGAGACATATAGAAACTAAAGAGATAATACGATCGTAACGGGGGGGAAAGAATTCTTAAGTCTAATATAACGGTACATTAGACGTAGATGCCCATGTTGGTATCCTTCTTCTTGGCTTGTACTTCCGCGATAGCATCGACGTAGTTTTCGTGTCCGACTTTGCTCATTCCCTTCCGGAGAGCGATCATACCAGCCTCGACGCAGACGGCCTTGAGTTGGGCACCGCCGAATTCGTCCGTGCTGCGGGCCAGTTCGGCCCAGTTGACGCTGTCGTCTACGGCCATCTTGCGGGAGTGGATCTGCAGGATGTTGGCGCGGGCTTCCTCGTTGGGGAGGGGGAATTCGATCTTGCGGTCCAGACGGCCAGAACGGAGGAGAGCGGGGTCCAGGACGTCGACACGGTTAGTGGCGGCGAGGACCTTGATACGGTCGTCGGAGGCGAAGCCGTCCAGCTGGTTGAGGAGTTCCAGCATGGTTCGTTGCACTTCACGGTCACCGGACTTTTCGGAGTCGAAACGTTTTGTGCCGACTGCGTCGAGTTCGTCGATGAAGATGATTGAGGGTGCTTTCTCCTTGGCGAGGGCGAAGCAGTCGCGGACGAGCTTGGCTCCGTCACCAATGAACATCTGCACTAGTTGGGGACCGGCGAGTTTGAGGAAAGTGGCGTTTGTCTCTGCAGCACAGGCTCGGGCGAGGAGGGTCTTTCCGGTACCGGGGGGACCGTACATCAGAGCACCTAGAGAGTATGAGTGTTGGTATATTCCTTGTCTGGGTTGGATGGTAACAGGGTCATTTACCTTTCGGTGCCTTGATGCCGAGCTTCTTAAACCGTTCAGCCTCCTTCATCGGCCATACTATAGCTTCAACAATTTCTTCAATCTGCTTATCCAGACCTCCAATATCTGTGTACTTCTCTGTTGGCTTCTCGTCGACCTCCATGGCCTTCACTCGGTTATCATATTCAGCGGGTAATGTATCCAGGACAAGATATGAATCCTTGTTTACACCGATGAGATCACCGGGCTTCAGCTTCTCATGATCTACCAGACCAATGAGGGGGAGATAGATGGTTTGACGGGTTGAGGTTTTGATGACAGCAGACTTGCCGACTCGAGTAGCATCGAGGTCGATATTGGCACCCTCTTCGGCGGCTTCAGCCTCGACATCCAAATCCAACAATTCAACCACATTTCCGACAAGGTATGGTAGTTGTCTAAAAGGAAGATGTTAATGGAAATGTCCCGACATACAATAACACGATGACATATGCAGCGACAGCCCAAACCCTACCACCTCGCCACTATGGGTGATGCGGTCCAGCCAGCTGCGAAGAAGGGAACGGGAAACCCAGCATGTCTCAGAACCCCATACCTGTTATTTTCAATCTTCTCTTGATTATCTTTAACCTTTTCTCTCATCGTACTCTGTTCGTGCGTCAACCGTTGGTATTCACTCTTCATTATACGCATTTCGTTCTCCAGCATCCGCCGTCGCTTGACGATGTCCGCTGTGCTCGATTGTAAAATGTCGTCGTCCAAGAGGTCCTCTTCGTCGTCCTTCTTCTCAGCGTCTTTCATGTCAGCGTCTCCATCTCCGGAGGGCTTCCTGCCGTTGCCGTCGCCATCTTGGGGCTTCTTCTCTCTCTCTTCACGGTCAAGGTCGTCGAGATCCTCCAAGGTCGACATGGTGGCGGGTAAGAATTAATTATGTGGGGAAGAGCAAGATAAGGGATAGACAGGTATTCTAGGAGGGAATGAGAGGGGGACGGCGGTGATGCGTTACGGGATGGGTCTTGCGGAAAGAGAGTGAGAGCTGTTGAGCTCCGGACCAAACAACGTCAGCTGCTGGGTGCCTATCACGTGATGCAATGACAAATGCCCCTGCCCGTTGGTGCCTAAGGCCGCATATGGATATAGTTCGCATTCTATGTATGTGGTCCCCTTTGAACTGTGCAAACTCTCTATTCTTTTCTTCTTCGCCCAAATCTATACATATGTTTTTTCTTCAGGTATAAATTCCCCATATACCGCAGAGTATGTACACCTACCCACTCTCCACAACTCCGGCCGATCTTAGAAGCAAGTTGCCGAAGACTCCTATATACTAGTTCCCCTTACAGGAAGAAGTTCGGGTTGTCGATGCGTCCCATAAAGTTGCCTATGTTGTTCAGGATCTTCTCTCTGCCGAACCTTAAGAGGCGATAACGCGAAACGTAGTCGTCGCTGTTGACTGGGCGGGGTCAGCATGTTCTCTCACGGAAACGTTGCACTGTACAGATATCTGTGGTTAGCACTACTTACTGTATCCGCCACACATCCTCCGCTTTCCAGTGAATTCGGAGCGACCATGAAGCATCCTCCAGTTGTCGAAAACTAAGACAATCAGCCAAATCCTATACTTCCTCAGAAAGATGGTGTCAAGCCTATACTTACTAAGTGCTGTTCCTGGCTCTAGCTGTGTCCATATCTGCATTTTCTCACGTGTGATTATGTCGTTAAAGTGCCGGGCTGCATTGTACCATCTATTCTGCTCTTCTAAAGTCCAGTCTTTTTTAGCTGCCCGATCATAGTTGTTCCAGCGGATTTGGTACAGGTAATTAAACTGCGAGTGGATCTTGAAAATGGGCATTTGTTCTGTGGGCTGGATGCAGGTTTCCTCATTGCCGCTTGAATGGAACGGCTGCGGCATTGCTGCTAGCACTTGGAAGTTCTGTGGATTTTCTGCTCGCATGATTTTTGCAGCCCAAAAGCCATCGACAAGCAAGCTCGCGCCTCCATCACCGTCGGTATGTGACAATAGATGAAACAGTTGAAGTCGTGCCGGGTCAGTGAAGTACGTATTGTCTGTATGTGCACCAAGGAACTCTGTGGTATATGCAGTGTCCTTGAATGTCAAGTCGGCCGTAAAGTCCCAAAAGCCACCTTTGTGTAATCAGTACAAAGAGTCGAGGGCCTATTTTGTATCGGATAAAGGATTTTACCGTAGTGAGTATGTCTGATGAAAGCGATTCTCTCCAGGAGGGTTTTGGTTGATTCTGGGTCAACGGGGACCCCCTTGACGAAGCAGAAGCCATGGAGATACTTTACAGTGGTTAGATAGCGATCCAAAAGAAAGGGAGTAGCCAAGCCGTACAATATTGTGAAGCCATTGACACAAGCCCTCGTCACTAGACATGACATCTTCATATAATACTGTTGGGTAAGAGGTATTTTCAGGCTTGTGGGCGATAAACTTTCTACACAGGAGTATCAGTACAACACAACTATATATCAAAAGACATATTTACCTCATTTTCTTATTTGGCAGTGACTTGCTAACCACACGATTCTTCAATGGCGCAAGACTACTTAGCCAGTTAACTGGGTAGACACCCTGGTGGCCATCAGACCCTTCTATGCGGTTAGCCCTGATACCCAGGAACAAGAGAATGGGAAGCATACACTCTACTTTAGCGATTTCCCCTTCGTAGGTGATATTATTCGGGGCCACATCCGGCGGTATCTAAGCGAAGAACAAGGACTGTCAATGTATAATGATCTCTCAGCACCCTGGACTAGAAACATACGGAGAAGGTGTCCACGCTTCGTTGTCTTGTATCTGGATGGACACACCCAGAACACTGGCAATTGTCCCTAATATCGGAGACAGTCAGGTAGGTATTCTTGGCTCGTCCTTTAGGCATGTTGATACGTACCGAAGCCAAAATCGTCCACTACATAGAGCATCAGCTGGTGTCAGTCTCCACAACAGGGGTACTCGGAATAATCTTTGTTTACTCACAACCGAGCGGTGGTCGTGCGCGAGGTCTTCATCACAATAGGCTGATTTCTATACCCTGCAGATTTGAATGGATACATGATCTCGAGGGATGATGGTCTCTTTGGCCTAACGACGGTATGCGATGGCTCTGCGGGAGATGGCTCTGCAGAGGATGGCTCCGTAGAGAATACTTTTGCAGACGGTTCTGCGGCAGATGGCTGCGCCAGAGTTGACTCCGCCCTTCTCATCCTGGGAGAGATGACATGACCGCGGGGGAGCGGAAGTGAAGGTCTGGAACCTTTTGAAAGACTCAGAGAGCCACCAGCCTGAAGATATTAGTCGGTCTCCTCCAGCTATTTTTTTTATGAAAAGTCTATGCTTCACTCACAAGTCGGTTAAGCTTTGGAATGCAAGGCGGATATGCACTGTCGATCTATTAGCATACGTGGACAATGAATTCTACGTTGCGGAGGGCATTGTACCCAGCAAACGCAGAGTGCGTCAGAGCTTTGAGAGGTAGTATTCTACTCATTTTCAGAACTACGTTTCATCAATGACACTCACGAAGGAATGTCGACGAGGTTGACTTTGGCATCAGCTACCCCCCGTTTCTCTCCGCAGCGTCATCTTGGCTGTCACGTGTCAGTCAACATCCATGTAAGTACAGACCCCATTAACAACATGCACTAATCCATTGGGCTTCGATTTCTTTGACTAATATAATTTACTCAGAGCAGCGCAAGCCTGCTGGAACCTGCGGTTGTGTTTTACCCACCCCAAAAAGCTATTTAGAATTCCTTCGTTGGTCGACAAGTAGCCTCGGTTACAAGCTTCGGGTAGTAGCAAGAGAGTATATTGACAATACTTTCGCAGTAAAAAATAATAAGGTTGGGAATTGTACCCGTCAAATACTATAAACTAAGTATGAAAGTCATGAGATACCAAGGTCTTCCTACCGAGCCCGTCACAGCTTGCTCTTCGACCCAGTGACCTTCAGCAGACAACGGCCGTTGCTCAGCACAACCTTGCCTCTGTTATTTGTGGTCACGAATCTGACTTCCTCGAACCCATCTTCAGTGTTTCCTGTTCTCCAGATCTCGGTGGTAAGCTTGTCGCCTGGGAGCACTGGCGAAGCAAAGCGTGCCTGGAATTCTCTCAAGTTCTTTGGATCACTGCCTCCAAGCTCTCTCAGAATGCCGTGAGCGGCAGTGTTCCAGCTGAAGAGACCGTGGATAATGACTCCACCAAATCCCATCTTCTGACCAGGCTCAGGCGTAGCATGAAGAGGGTTATAGTCGCCATTGAGACTAGCGAAAGTATGATATGAGCATGGATATGCGCTTCAAAGGATCCTTATCCGGGGGGAATCGATCTTACCGATAGAGAAGAGGAGTTTCAGCTGTCGTCTGGACGACATGAACTGCATCTGGTTTCTTGCCTTGAGGAGGGGGATAATTGACGGCACTCGGTCCTATGGAAAGAAAGTCAGCAGAGCGGCAGAGCATCAATATGTGCACAGGCTTACCCTTAGGCCCACCCCAATTGCCCTGTCCTACCATGAAAGCGCTGCTCACCGTCTTGGTGTACACCTCTCCACTCTCGTCCACAATCGACTGCTCTGTCTCGACCACCGAGCCAGCTTTGCCTTTATCGTAGACCCCAATAACCTTATTACGCAACTGAAATTTCTTGCCTGCGCTCGTGGGAGGTAAAGGTTTCAGAATAGTGATCTTGCGCTGGCCATCTACAGCACGGCGAGAGTCGAATTTCGGGACACCGGGGATGGGAGTTGCATGCGAACGTGCATAGAAATCGATGGTTTCTTGATCAGTGTGTTTAAAAGCTACACGAAACAGCCGCAGTCAGCATGCATAAACAGCCTCGAGTGCTGGATAGCCATACGGAGGATCAAAGAATAAGTCGGGAACACAGCGAAGTTAGGATGGAGCTCCTGGATTCAATAGTTAGCGAAGTTGCCAGCTGAAAAAAGTATGGCTAATTGTAGCTTACATATAGAAAATGAAGCTCGTCGGCTTTAGCACCGATGCTGTTGGCAAACAACAAAGCATCGCGCTTAAGCCAGGAGACCTCCTGAGGAGGATGTTCAAAGCCAACGCCGGGGGCCGACATGAGGACGATGCTAGCAGTGGTCAAGTTGAGGAAAGCTTAAGGATTGAATCGTTTGGACAAGTAGATTTCCCGCTACGAGGGCAGTTCGAATTCGTATACCGTAAGATCCACCAAATTCTCAACGAAGGAGGATACCATGTAATCTTCATTTGCGGAGAATATATACTTGCCGCTGTCGTACCGTTGACCTAGGCTGGGGAGAATTAATCCGGTGCGGGGAAGCCGAGGCACGAATTGAATGGGAACGGTTTCTGATTACAGGCCGAGGGGCCTCAGGTTATCCAGTCGGCGCTAGCCCAAACCAACTGGACTCTTCTGACCTTTCAGCAATCAATGGACGTAGCCAAAATTAAATTATCCAATTGAACGTAGCAAGGATGTAAGTTTAGGTGCAGAACATGATGATTTGAAGCTAAAGAACTCAAGAAGGAGAACGTCGGAGGGAGTTAGGACTGAGCGTCGACTCGGGGTATCTACTTGGGTAATTCGAGGAGCTTCATAATCGTCTCTTGTGCAAATCATCTCTCCGTATCGCGCCGAACAATGATGCCGTTCCCCTTACCTGCCAAAACACAACGCCGGATGAATAAGAAAAGAGAAAAAGAGCCGAATCAGGCCATTCAACGACCCAAATGTCCAGACAATTGAACTTCCACTGATGCTATGCTTCCCACAATTGAACCCTCATGTATTTACCGACATAACATTGTTGACTCAGAAGAGAACATTGAAATAACCGAACGTGCCGCGACTCATCAGATCCAATACATTTAGCACCTATGGCAGTTAGCATTCAGTGGCCAGCAGACTCGGCAGTGGAGACCCTTACATTCTATAGGAGCAGCTACCCTCGGAGTAACGAAGGTTATCGGTAGTCTCGAACTTGTAAGAGATAGTGATGTCGAGATCACGCTTGTTCTTGTCATTGGGCTTGTTCTCCAACACTCCCGAAACGACTTCATCCTCTTCGACGGTCAGAACATCACGGAGGTAGAAGACAGTCTGCTTCCAGTGTGTGTACTTGGCGTGGGGGCCGGTGGAGAAGGTGATGGGCTTGTGGCAGGCACCAAACTCGATGTCGAACCAAGCGATCACAGCGTGGATGAAGTCGCTGCGCTTGGCGGCAAGAGAGAAGGGGACCTTGAAAGCGAGATCGGCTGTGGTGACGGTGTAGAGGTCAAGGGTAATGATGGGGCAAGGGTCGGTGACGAGGGCCTTCAGCTCAACGGTATCCACGAGAGGTTCCGTGAGGGCGATCTCTTTCATGGGGGAGTAGTCAAACCCATACACATTATCCCAGACTGCAACTCAGTCAGTATTTTCGGGCAACAAACATAATTGAGAGAGAACGTAAGCGCTCTTACATCCGATCTTGTCGTCCTTGTACTCGCCATCTTCGATAGCAGCCAAGTACATGGTAGCCTTGTCGGGGAAGATCTTGCCACCGGGAACAAGGTAGCGGTCGCGGGCATAGAGAACAGTGTCCAGCATGCTCTCGTAAAGGAGGAAGTAACCCATCCACTCGGAGATGATGATATCAACCTTGGGATAAGGGAGGACAACCTCCTCCATCTTTCCTTGGAGAAGAGTGACCCTGTCCGACAGGCCGTTGCAAGCGACAATCTCCTTGGCCTTCTCAATGATAGAGGACATATCCACACCAATTACGTGTTTAGCACCAGCCTTAGCAGCGAACCTATAGAGCCATAGGATCAGTATATAGAACAAGGTTCTTCTAGCTGACCACATACATGCTGAGGATACCGGTTCCACAACCGACATCGAGAACAACCTTGTCCTTGAAAATATGACGGTTTTGGTAGATAGAATCACGGTAAGATCTGGTTCGGACATCGTCTTTCTGCAATCGAGCACATGAGTATTAGTTGGTTGAAATCAAAAGCTGAATAAATAGTAGGGCACTTACAAGCATCTCCTCATGAATGCCTAAGTGGGGTTCAGGATTAGCCAGTATATATCAACTGAGTTATCGATTGTAATTACCATGATGATCGTAGCTATTCCTCCTGTTAGTAATGTAAACGAATATGGAGCAAAGGTCTCGAAGCATACCTTGTGAAATAACGCACTTCAGCATGATCCATGCCCACCATACGATCAGCACTGCTGGTCATGGTGCCGGCAGACTCTGCGGATTGTGTCTGCTCCGGTCCGTTCATATTCAAACTATTGATCTTTCTAATAAAGAAGGAAAATGTAAGAAAGAAAAGAAACAAGCAAACAAAAGAGTAAAAAAAAAATCTAGAATTATAGATAAAAGGAGATAAGAGGGAAGAACTAGATTAGGCAGGGAGGAAAAATAAGGAAGCGCCTCCGAGATAGATCCCTTCAACTTTTTTTCCCTTCTTTTTTTTTCTTAACTGACCCTCATTGGAAAATCTCCTCCGACCGGGGCGACCAAACAAAAAACGCTAATCTCTGATTCAGGCTAGCCTAACACAGACAACGCTATCCCGGATTCATCGAATCACGTGTAGTGCTAGGTTCAATCCAAGTCTCAACGTGGACCTCAAGATACCTGATTGGGGTTGGACTGCTCCTGCTTTCCTGGAGGATGTATATCAGCTTGTCTCTATTGAGTACGGCATTCCCGGTGACTGAGGATTAGAAGAACTTACACTTAGATAAAATGATACTTAAGTTGAGGACTCCACTCTCAGTACAATAAGTTAGAAATTGAGGTCATGCAACCTTACAGCGAGAAACTCACGGGCTCCTGTGCAAAGATATTTCAGAAAGTATGTACTACATAGGAAGCTCAGAAAATGGGACATTTTGAATTAAACATTTATAGCGTAAGATATACAGCTTGGAGCTTCTAGCTGGGGTTGTCTTGTATGTTCCGTTAATGCCAAGATGTTTGCGTTGCCGCTGCTTAACTCCGCCTTCCGCTGTTGGTGCGCGCGCTGTCAATCAAGCGCGGACTGCTTACTTTCCCCTGAGGTTAGCACGTCCCGTCAGCGGTAATTCAGGTACACAGGGCACAATGTATTGGAGCTCAGCCCGAAGGAAGGTTTTCTTCTACGCATACTTCCTGGTTCTTGCTACTTTCATTGGGAAGTCGACTGCCTCCCTGGGCGACCATCTTCCCGATTTCAAAGAATGTGTTAAGGTATACAGCGCCTCCAAGAGCTTCGGATTGCCCGGCTAATCAACAGATAGATATGTCAAACTGAGAACTGTCAAGATGGAAATTCCGTGATCCGTACGTTCGAGCTTTCTGTAAACTACCGATATAATCCTCCCTAAACTAATTCGCCCTCTTTAGCTTTCCATCTCCGCTTGATGTGGTGGACCTGTCCCGCCGAATGTGACTATACTTGCCAACATGTTGTGACGGACCGTCGAGTCGCTCGTGATCCTCCGATGCTCAATCCCGTAGTCCAATTCCATGGGAAATGGCCGTTCCGCAGGATCATGGGCATGCAAGAACCGTTCTCGGTCCTCTTCTCCCTCCTCAACTTCAGTGCCCACTGGTACGGTTTATCTCGAATCCGCGAAACCATGTCGACGTGGCATACTTCTCTACGGGCTTACTATCTTGCTTTTGGATATTGCGGTCTAGCATGCTGGACCTTCAGTAGCATCTTCCACGCCAGGGACTTTTCTTTGACAGAGAAGCTGGATTATTTCGGAGCGGGCGCAAATGTCATGTATGGGTTATACCTGGCGATTATCAGGATATTCCGATTAGACAAGGAAGAGCCGCAAATGAAACCGACATTGCGTCGGCTCTGGACTGTGGTCTGTATCTTCCTTTATACCTTGCATGTGTCGTATCTCAGCTTCTGGTCCTGGGACTACACCTATAATATGATCGCGAATATCGTGGTCGGGATGACGCAAAACTTGCTGTGGGTAGCATTCAGTATTTATAGGTACCGGAGTACCGACAAAACATGGACTCTCTTGCCAGCAATCTGTGTGGCTTGGATTATGTTGGCCATGAGTCTGGAATTGTTGGACTTCCCTCCATGGCATGCGCTCATCGATGCCCATAGCCTGTGGCATCTGGGTACTGTTATTCCCACCGCGCTGTGGTATATGTAAGTCCGCGCGTCGTTAGAACCCCTCCTTACCGACTGCCAGGCTAACTCGACTGTGATCGATAGGTACCTAGAAAAGGACATCGAAGAGGATGTGCGGGGCAAGAGATACAAAGCCTGAACAGATAGAATTTTCTCAGCTATGGGTAAAATGCTCCTGGCCTGAGAATAGTACGTCCATTGCTGTATAGTAGGAGGTCCAGGCGACCGACGATCGATGAGTTCCAGAGGCTAGTGACAATATCAACACAGGGTATAATGTTGTAGCCAATAAAAGCATGTAGCTCAACCAGTGGTATTTTCTATTACCCAACACTTTTGATTTAGGGCATTTCCACTCTCTTCCAAAAGTTGGGTGTCTAACGGTAACGAACTGCGCATGTTTCCCGCTCACCGCTCGCGGGGGCTGTACCCAAAGCCTGCGTTGTCTCACATTTTATCTGGTGTCACGGGCCCTGCTGCTTTTTTCCCCTTTCGACCCAAGCTTTATAGCATCCCTTTTCCCCCTCCCCCTCTTCGTCTCTTGCGTCCCTTGTCAATTGACTCCCGCCAATTTCTATCCCATCCTCAACACTCTCTCGACCCAAATTCACGCCACAATGGCGTCCCCCGCTATCAAGAAAGCCATCACTGAGGCCGCCGCGCAGTATGTCAAGCCGGAGGGAAAGGTCTTCCAGTATGGTACTGCGGGGGTGAGTTACTAATGATCAACCTCACTTCCTTATGAAGCACTGACCAAATTCCCCTGCCTTGCAGTTCCGTATGAAGGCGTAAGTTCCACGTTTATGTGTACTTTCAAGCAAGGTCTTTTAAAGGATCAGCCCCGCCTCCACATATACCCCGCGATCGCCATTTGTTTACACTTTGACCAACGCATATTTTTAGCGACGTCCTCAACACAGTCGTCTTTGCTGTGGGCTTGCTCGCTGGTCTCCGTTCCAAGAAGCTCAGTGGACAATGGATTGGCGTCATGATTACTGCCAGTCACAACCCTGCGGAGGACAACGGTGTAAAGTTGGTTGATCCCATGGTGAGTTGCGGCAGCCACCCCGGAATAAACTCCATACGAAGCCGTTGCTGACTGAATTACCAAATAGGGTGAAATGCTTGAGGTAAGCTTTTCGCCAAAACGAAGTCTAACTCTTACGGCTGCAAATTTACTTAACCCTTGGGTAGGCTGAATGGGAAACCTATGCGACAAAGCTCGCCAATGCTCCGCTAGACAAGATCGCAGATGTTTACGAAGAACTCATAAAGGAGATTGATATCAGCATGGAAAATCCCGCTCGCGTTGTTTTTGCCCGGGATACTCGTGCCTCTGGTTCTCGTCTTGCTGGCGTTCTCAACTCTGCGCTCACCGCTACAGAGGTTGAGTTCTCCGATCTCAAATTCATGACCACCCCCCAGCTCCATTACGTTGTCCGCTGCAAGAATACCCTGGGAACACAGTATGAGTACGGTGAACCCACGGAGCAAGGATACTACGAAAAGCTCGCCAAGGCTTTCAAGGGAGTTATGCGCGGTCTTAAGGTCAAGGGCTCTTTGACCGTTGATTGCGCAAATGGTGTTGGCGGACCTAAGCTGAGAGAGCTCCTTAAGTACCTTCCTGGCCCAGAGGAGGGTGGTATCGACATCAAGGTTATCAATGACGATGTGATCAACCCGGATAGCCTCAACTTCGATGTATGATCTTTTTAATTGGTCCCATCGTATCCATACTAACCTACTTTTTAGTGCGGTGCCGATTATGTCAAGACCAAGCAGCGCGCTCCCCCCTCCTCCAAGGCCGCTGCCCTTGACCGTTGTGCCTCCTTGGACGGCGATGCCGATCGTCTTGTTTACTATTTCGTCGACGAGAGCAATGTTTTCCGTCTTCTTGACGGCGACCGCATTGCCACTCTTGCCGCTGCCTTCATTGGTGACCTTACCAAGAATGCCGGCATCGCGCAGAAGCTCAAGATTGGCATCATCCAGACTGCGTATGCCAACGGAGCTAGTACGGACTACATTGAAAAAGTGCTCAAGCTTCCCTCCGTCTGCACTAACACTGGCGTGAAGCACCTTCACCACGCTGCCCTGCGCTACGATGTTGGTGTCTACTTCGAAGCGAACGGTCACGGCACTATTACCTTCTCTGAAAATGCCTTGAAGATTATCAAGAGCACGGAACCCCAGTCTCCCGCTCAGCAGCGTGCTCTTGAGTGCCTCCAGGGTCTCACCGATCTGATCAACCAAGCAGTTGGCGATGCTATCTCTGACATGCTCCTCGTTGAAGCGATCCTTGCTCATAAGGGCTGGACCCCCAAGGAGTGGCTTAGCACCTACACTGACCTCCCCTCCCGATTGGTCCGTGTGGAGGTTGCTGACCGCTCAATCTTCAAAGCGTATGATGCTGAGCGTAAGCTCGAGTCCCCTGCTGGCCTCCAGCTCAAGATCGAATCCCTCCAATCCCGCTACAACAAGGGAAGAAGCTTTGCCCGTGCCAGTGGCACAGAAGATGCGGTGCGTGTCTACGCTGAGGCTGCCAGCCGCTCCGAGGCTGACGATCTCGCTACTCGCGTCGCCAACGCTGTCCGTGAGGCCGGCGCCGCTAAAGAGATCTTGCAGTCTTAGTTTTTGGAATATCTAATGCCCTAACGAATTCTAAGTGGTTCCATGGAACCGTATGATTGGAAGCTATCTGAAAACTTGCAAGGGTGCACCCTTGCACATGCATGGATGAAGCTTTAGGTCATGGCCAGACAATCACAAATCACAGGGTTAACGACGTTGCTCAGACTTTGCAACGTCGTCGCATTATAGAGGTAATGGGAACTGTTATGAACGATCTGATGAGTTTTCTTTTGATGTGAATGCAGAGCAAATCTGACTCGATTTAGCCATTCCTTATAGTATTTTTAAATTGATTAGAAGTTAGGAAGACCTAGTAGCTAATTGGAACAAGGCCTACGGTCACCATGACAAGTAATCTACTTAACGAACTCAGTACAAGGACCAAGGCCTTCTTTATAAACTTCATTTGGGTATTCGTTAGCAATAATCGAAATCTACATTTTACTTTTCTCCCACTAGCCCTCTTCCTGATCCATATCCTCTCGGGACCGCTTTCCTTTGGCAAACTTCTTGCCCCTACTTCCCCTCTTCTCGTCGTAGTTTTTCATTTCCAAAATAGCACTGCGTTGCGCCTCGGATACACGCTCTGCAAGGACCATCACCTCGTCCTTCTCTGCGGGGTATTCAGGGAGCTTCTTTCCCAGCGCACCCTCAATGCGAAGCCATGCCTCGACATCATATTGCGTAGCGAAGCTAATAGCCACACCCGACTTACCTGCACGGGCGGTACGACCAATTCTGTGGATGAAAGTTTTCCTAACCTCCCGTTAGCTTCACACCTTCCCCAGATAAACCAAAAGGGAAGAGCAACTTACGAATCACCAGGCAAATCAAAGTTCAAAACCACATCAACAGAGGGAATATCAAGACCACGAGCCGCCACATCCGTCGCAACCAGGATATCCCTACTCCTCGAACGGAACTTGCCGAGCGCACCCAAACGAGCAGACTGCGAAAGCTGGCCATGCAGCGGGATCGCGCCAAACCCAAGCAATCTCAGAAAAAAGCTGAGACGCTGAGTCTCGTGCACAGTACGACAGAAGATGATGCACGATTGGCCGACGAACTCGTTCAGCAGGTAGACCAGGTACAGGTCCTTGTGTTTGTGGGGGATGAAGACGTAGGATTGTTGGAGGGTGGAGACGGTTTGGAATTTAGATGAGGAGACAGCGACACGAAGCGGGTTTTGGAGAGATGCTCTCTGCAGAGACTCAACCTTGGAGCTCATGGTTGCGGAGAAGAGGTAGGTGCGGCGCTCGCGGGGGAGCACCTTCAGGATCTTGTCGAGGATGGGGCCGAAATCCATGTCGAGGAGACGGTCGGCTTCGTCCATAACGAGGTATTTGAGGTTGCGGAGGGAGAAGCCTTTGGTGTTTTCGAGATGGTCGAGCAGACGGCCGGGAGTGGCTACGATGATGTGAGGCTTGGGGATTTGTTAGATTCTACTTAGTGTTCTAATTTGAGATTGGCTGGGCGGTTTACCTTCTTTCCTAGTGCGATCGATTGTGATACCATGTCCATGCCTCCAACGAGAACCGTGCTTCTTACTGAGATTGTGCTTCCTAGACCCTCGAAGGCTTGGGAGATCTGGTATGCTAGTTCACGGGTGGGCGCGAGGACGAGGCCAAAAAAGGAAGAAGGCTTATCCATCAGGGCTTGGAGGATAGGCAGTGCAAAAGCTGCGGTTTTACCGCTACCGGTCTCTAGCATGAGTGTTAGTAAAGTACTATAACAACAGGGAACATGAAGGTGGTACTATACCAGCCAAACCGATCAAATCGCGGCCCTGAAGAGCGAGAGGAATGGCCTCCGCCTGAATCGCGGTGGGAGCCTTGTATCCCATGGAATCGCAGGCTTCGCATAATTGCTCAATAAGGCCTAGTTCCTTGAAAGATTTTGGAACCTGCTTAGGCGCTTCAGATGGTTCTTGTTCTTGCTCAGTAGTATTGGCGGCGGCATCCTCAGAGGCAGAGCTGTGTGCCTCACTATCGCTATGGTCTTCTTGTTGAGGCGCCTCACGGGCGATCTTGCGCTTCTTAATTGCCGGCATATTGAATCAATATCTGACTTCAAAGGTTTGCACTCGGTGAACTGATCGAATGATTTCTTTTTCCTGATAGTTCGATATCAAAAAATCAGTGTGGGTCCCGGTAAAACAGTTGGTCCGGAGATACTCCGCGGCCTGGGTTCCGCCGATCTACTTTTTCGGCCAAGAAAAAAAAGTCCATCTGTCTCGAGACGTTGAATAGCATTTCCCTCGAACCACATACCTACCATATATTTCCTACTTTGCCAGATTCACAATGGCTAAGGCACGTACGAAGAAGCGCACTCATCTCCGCGCCCAAAATGCCTCAGCCGCCGCCGCCAAAGGCAGCAGCTCGAACATGAGCAAAACCCCGAAGTCGATGGTTATCCGTATCGGCGGTTCTCAAGTCGGCTCGAGTGTCAGTCAATTAGTGAAGGATGTTCGTTTGATGATGGAGCCCGACACTGCTGTGCGACTGAAGGTATGGCATTATGAAATCCTAATGCGCCTTTCGAGAAGAAACTAACGCTGATACCGTCTAGGAACGTAAATCCAACAGACTGAGGGATTATACCGTTATGACGGGTCCTCTCGGTGTCACACATCTTATGCTTTTCTCCAAGTCTGCTACGGGTAACACTAACATGCGTCTGGCGCTTACGCCGCGCGGCCCAACACTCCACTTCAAAGTCGAGAACTACTCTCTGTGTCGAGACGTCGAGAGAGCATTGAAGCGTCCGCGAGGCGGCGGCCAGGACCACAAGACACCACCTTTGCTGGTGATGAACAACTTCAACTCCCCGAATGCAACCGAGGACGGCAAAGTACCAAAGCGCCTTGAGACTCTCACAACCACTATCTTCCAATCCCTTTTCCCGCCGATCAACCCCCAAGCTACCCCTCTCTCCTCTATCCGCCGTGTGATGCTCCTCAACCGAGAACTCAAGTCCGATGGCCAAGAAGATGACTCCTACGTCTTGAATTTGCGACACTACGCCATTACTACCCGGAAGACCGGCGTCTCAAAACGCATTCGCCGTCTGGATCCTAAGGAAATCCGTAACCGGGAGAAGAGGGGCGTTGCTGTTCCCAATCTAGGAAAGTTGGAGGATGCTGCGGATTACCTGTTGGATCCGTCGGCTGGGGGTTATACCTCCGCTAGTGAAACCGAACTAGACACCGATAATGAGGTTGAAATCGCAGAGAGCACAACGAAGAGGGTTCTGAACAAGCGGGAACTGCAACGCATGAAGGCCGGGGAGAAGGAGAAGGCCGAGAAGAAATTGAAGGCCGCGCCAGAGGTGGAGAAGCGCGCGGTCAAGCTGGTCGAATTGGGGCCCCGCTTGAAGCTCCGGCTGATCAAGGTTGAGGAGGGTCTTTGCGAAGGCAAGGTCATGTGGCACGACTACATCCACAAGTCCGAGGAGGATATGAAGAAGCTGGACAAGAACTGGGCAAAGAGACAGAAGGAGAAGGAAGAGCGGAAGAGGCAGCAGAAGGAGAATATCGAGAAGAAGAAGGCAGAGAAGGCCAAGGCCCGGGCTGAAGGCAAGGAAGTTGAAGATGACGATGACGAGGAAATGGAGGTGGATGATGACGAGGATGACTGGCTCAGCGATGACTTTGATGAAGAAGGCGCGGAGCAAGAAGGAGAGGATGAGGACGAATCCATGGAGGAGTAGAGGGAGCGTCACTCTCTCAGTTTCTTAATTTTTCACGAAAAGCGAACTTCTCGCGCTATATCATGTCCTTAGGCACGAGAAACTATATGGAGGCCCCAGACCCGCCTTCGCTGCTGTCTTCCGGTGTCGTTCATGTGCACGGATCTGCTGCAACCACGTCCCACTCGGCTGGATTAACGACAGATAGAATCACCCTGGCTTTGCTACCAGGGACTCTAAGCATCTTTCACAGGAATTTCACGGAGACTGGGGTCGGAGGGTGTTACAAATAGACCATCATTTAGGTGACCAGATTATACCCTTTGTTGAAAAGCAATAAAAAGTAATTGGTATTTCAATTGGCAGTACAATAGAAGTAAAGCAATCTATACATCACGGTCATAACCTCATTTACTAGACCATGCCTCATTTCTTCAACTTCTCATCCACAATCCTGGACACCATCTTCTCCAAAATCGCAAAATCACCGCCACCAACCCCGGCAAAGTAACTCTGCACACTCTTCTCAACATACTTCCCGACAATATCAATCTCCACATTCACATCCTCCCCGACCTTCTTCGAAGCCGTCACAATCTTCTCCTGCGTATACGCAATAAGCATAATCTCAAAATACCCCTCCTCCCCATCGACCACCTTCGTAACCGTCAAACTGGCCCCATCAAGCGTAACATAGCCCTTCTCCACAATATACCTCAAGACACCCCGGTCACGAGGCTGCAGCCGCAACACCAGCGCATTGCTATCGGGCGTGACAGAGAGAATGGTCGCGATGGTATCGACGTGGCCCTGGACGAAATGGCCACCCATGCGGGTTTCGCTGAGGACCGCGCGCTCGAGGTTCACCCGGGAGTTGGTGCTCAGGGAGCCCAGGTTCGTGCGACGCAGGGTTTCGGGGGCCACGCCGACTTTGAACCAGGTTTTGTCGAAGGCGGTTACGGTTAGACAGGTTCCTGTTTTGTCGTTTGGTTAGTGGTGACTCAGTAGGGGGTGGGGTGGGATTAGGCGATGCGGGGTGAGTGGTCAATGGGGCAGGTGCAGTAGTAGGTGGGCTTTATATAGGCAGGATAGCGTACCGTTTACTGCGATGCTGTCGCCGAGATGGGCGTCGGTCAGGATCTCTTCACAGTTGCTGATGGTCAAAGACGTACCCCCGCCCCCGCTTGCGGAGGTATCGAGGGGCTCAAGGGACGAGACCGCTGGGGGATGTTAGTTGTGTGAGGACGGTGGTTGATTGGAGGGGCGTACTCACTCCCGATTGTTTCGACAAGACCGGTAAACATGGTGTGAGGTGTGTTGGAAAGTGTAGCTGTCAATGCACTCCGCGGCAGTTGAGGCGGAAGAGAGCGGAAGATCGCAGAGCTATAAGCAGATTGAATCAATGACACACAAGCTCTCCGCCCACCACGCTTGTAGCTGTCCCGCCGCGCCGGAGCGATCAATTACCTAAGGAAAAGAGTTAAAGGTTAAAATCAAATGAAAATGAATAGTGATATACTTACGGTCTCCATCTACTATAGAATAACAAACCAATATACCCCAAAAACAATCGAATAGCACCCACATTTGTCCCCGCTCGGCGCTAAAGGCGGAAATGCATGCTTAATCGACCTCGGCTTTTGGCGTCCAACAAGTTAAGCTATCGGCGAAGTACCCGAATGAAATGACAGGAACATAAATCAATCTATCGAGCTCCGGTCGCGGCCCCAAAAAGTAGTACATGATATACATGCGTGACGACCCCAACTTTACATGCCTTGGATCCAACTCAATTTTATCTCTCTGCTTGAAATCCACATGTACCGCTTCAATTGAACGACAATGAGCGTCACGTTGAAGTTGCACCAGGCTATTCTCGCCCGCCGGCCAGCTCCCCGCTGGTCGAGCGCTATTCTCCGCCGCAGCGCAGCTCAATGGCGTACATACTCCAGTACCCCGGCAGACGATACGCTGCCCTTGAAGGGCGTTCGGGTGCTTGATATGACAAGGGTTTTGGCTGGTGTGCGTATTTCCGATCCTGATTTGATATATATAATTTCTATACTATTGTTGGGGTACTGGTACTGACTATGATATAGCCATACTGTACGCAGATCCTTGGAGATTTAGGGTATGTGTGTCTCCGTTACCGGTGTTGACTTCAGTGCGGGTGGGTAATAGCTGACACCCCGGGATAGAGCAGATGTTATTAAGATCGAACACCCGGTGCGGGGCGATGACACTCGCGCCTGGGGTCCGCCATATGCCAAATACCAGGATGAGTCGCGACAAGGCCCCGGCGAAAGCGCATATTATCTAGGTGTAAGGTCCATCGCCCGGCTCCAGATGCTGTACTCTGTTGACATGGACCGGAGAACAGGTCAACCGCAACAAGAAATCTTTGGGTTTGTCGTTTCAACACAAGTCAGGCGTGGAGATCCTGCACCGTCTTGCGAAAGAATGCGACGTTCTCGTCGAGAATTACCTCCCTGGAAGTCTGAAGAAATATAACATGGACTACGAAACCCTGCGAGAGATAAACCCTAAGCTGATCTACGCGAGTATCACCGGATACGGGCAGACGGGGCCGTACAGTAACCGGGCTGGGTACGATGTCATGGTCGAGGCGGAGATGGGCCTGATGCATATCACTGGGGCCAGGGATGGAGATCCAGTGAAGGTTGGTGTGGCGGTTACGGATCTGACGACTGGGCTGTATACATCTAACGCAATCATGGCGGCGCTGCTGGCTCGCATGAGGACGGGTAAGGGCCAACATATCGATGCTTGCTTGAGCGACTGTCAGGTCGCAACGCTGGCGAATATCGCTAGCTCTGCGTTGATCAGTGGGGAGAAGGATACTGGGAGATGGGGGACCGCGCATCGTGAGTACTGAAGTGTTGAGAGAAAGAGTTGCGGATTCTAACGGCTCTCAAGCTTCCATTGTTCCTTACCGGAGTTATCAGACGCTGGATGGAGATATTCTCTTCGGGGGCGGGAACGACAGACTGTTTGGTGTGTTGTGCGACCGTTTAGGACATCCGGAATGGAAGACCGATCCCCGGTTTGTTACCAACAGTGACCGCGTCAAGCACCGACGGGAGATCGACGGCCTCATCGAGGAGAAAGTCAAACAAAAGACCACACAAGAATGGCTGGAGATCTTGGAAGGCAGCGGGATGCCATATGCCGCCGTCAATGATATTCAAGGGACCCTCAACCATTCTCACGGTACGTTACCATCCACAGGATATAGATATTGTCACGGCTGTTACTAAGGTCAATGGCACAGTCCAAGCGCGTGGGATGGTCACCGAAGTCGATCATCCAGCATGCGGTCCCATCAAGCTAGTCAACACCCCGATTAAGTATTCCCATGCCACTCCTGGCGTGCGGACGCCGCCCCCAACCCTTGGCCAACACACGGATGAGATTCTCGCAGAGATTCTCGAATATGGTAAGGATGATATTGCTCGTTTGAAGCAAGATGGTGTAGTGTCATAAAGAGGCGACTGGTTGGCCATCGGCTAGACGACGTTAGGAGCCGTAATATGCATCGAACACGGGAGTAGCATTTGCAAGGGTTTAGCGGCAGCGGTTAGGCTTGCAGAGCTCTGGGACCCGTAGCACCCTTTGTACATAGAGATCGCAACGAGTGAATGACAAGGCTAGCGATGATCAACCCGCCTGAAAGCATGATCGACCCGAAATTCTTGAAGGGATGAATCTCGCTTTCCAGGGCGCGGGGGGTTCGCGTCACGTGACTATATATAAGTTTCCATCCTTGGATCCGTCGCAAAGCGAATTCTGCGCCATTCAGGATAATCGATACTCATACTTCGTGTGATTAGACACATTCACCCCGAAAGTCCACGGTGTAACTGTGTCCCACTGGCCAGGGCAGGGGGGCTAATGTCACAGCAACATGGGGTTCTTCCCACGCCGGCGTCTATAGAGACAGCGCCACCAGCCCACGGAACCTCCTCAGGCTTGCATACATCGGCTCCCACCGTCGAGCGGGTCTCGCCTTCCCTGTCGCCCTCATTGAAACCTAGCCGCCCACCGAGCGCAATCTCGAGTAAAGTACATATCCCGAAATTGTCCCCCGCGACCACTGAACTCGTGGCTCGGGTTACCGGCCATAGGAAAGGGGAGAAGCAGAGGAATGGGACTAAGTTCGTGACGTGGAACCCACCGTCTCTCAATCCAGGCTGGAGCCATCCACGCATGCAACCATCAGGCACAATGAAGGCCTCTTCTACCATCATAGAGCTACCAACGGCTCCGTTCGTGTACTCGAGTCATATGACAGCCCCTGCGGTTTCTCAACAGGCTCCTGTTACTGCTCCTTCCACTACATCTCCATTTACACATACACATACACCTACACTTCCCCAGGGTAGCCATGACAAGCCAACAAGCCTTGTTCATATTGCACCCAAACCCGCAGGGCCGCCTTCAACGGGAGCCCCAGCACCACCACAAGATTCACTGCCACCACTACTGCCTTCACAACCCCAGCCGATAGTCCCAGCGGCTAAAGATTCACCCCCATCCGCTAAGCGCAAGAGAGCAGCAGTTGGCCCACGCCAACGAAGGAGTACCACCAATGGCACCAAGCGCAAGAAGCGCCGGCGTGGTAATGACAGTGATGGAGAAGACATCATCCGAGCAGGAGACTCGAGCTCAGATGAATCTGACGTTGCGCCGACGGCGACACAAACGAAATCTGGCCGGCAGGTCAATCGTCCTTCTTTATATGTACCTCCGTCCGCATCGCCGACGGTTGCCAAGGACAGCAGTAACTCGCTGGATACATCGGATAACACTCAACGGCAGGCCGCAGCCGCTCGGAAACGTAAGCGGGTGTATCGCAAGCCGAAGGACGGTACCGTCAGTTGTATCCATTGCCAGAGGGGACATAGTCCGCAGAGCAACGCTATCGTCTTCTGCGATGAGTGCAACGGGCCCTGGCATCAGCTGTGCCATGACCCTCCTATTGACTCGCAGGTTGTCACCGTGAAGGAACGACAATGGGTCTGTCGGGAATGCAAGCCCGTGCCGATCACCATTCTGCAGCCGACGGTTGTTAGGAGCAATCCTAGCCTCGCGGGTCCGTCGTTAGGCCCTCCCGTGCATGCACCACTACTAATACCCAAGACGGAAGTAGGAGGGGAGGGATTCTCGGCAGATGAGCGACGGGGCTTTCTATCAGGCTTGTCGCATGCAACTCTTGTCGAACTATTGGTCACTTTGTCAGACCAGCACCCGGCAATACCTATGTTTCCTAAGAATCTAAAGACTCTACAGTCGAATTTCTCGTTCAAGCCAAACACTGGCGCAGTGTCTACTCCATCCTCAACATCCTCGAATACCCCAACGATCACTAACTCGATAACCCACGCTTTAACTAACGGTGTAGGCATGGCGCAGCAAAAGTCAGGTGTCACTCCTGAATTCCTGCCTACTCCCTCTTCCGCCCACCAAACGCAGCACGACGACCCGTCCGAAGAATCCGAGTATGAATTCTCAGAGCATCGCCTGTATCCACGTGCCGGGAACGGATTCCGTCTGTCGACGAAGGCCGACGATGTGGATATCATGTGGGAAGACGTCTCTTGTCGCACGTTCAGCTACGCATTACACGGGCCGGCACGGGTTCGAGCGCAGGCGAACGAAGTCGCGCCCATCTGGGGTTCGTGATTGTTGCCTTTGGGCTCTTTCGTCCGTCTTACCCTTGGGTGTATAGTATCGTGATTGTGCTCCTAGTTACCGAGGGTTAAACGAGCAAGAGTTAGTTGGGTTGGTATGGGTTATTGTATCGGTTTTGGAGTCAGGTTATGATTTTTGCGATGAATCGTTGGACGGATTACCCGGAGGTTTATGTTGCATGCCATATTATATTAGATTTATGATCACATTTACCACCTAGTAGAAGATGATAATAATACGAAGCTTCACACATTCAACACCTAGCTCATAATAAGTCAACACACCACACCACCCACGTCCCTCAACTAAAAACCCCCCACACAAACACCAACAAGTGAGCACCACCTACAGAAACCCAACAACGCTCTCGTCCCACAACCGCCCCCTCGCACGCACCAATCTCCCCCCAGAAACGACCGCCCTGGCCATTCGAGCCGGCGGATCCCAAACCACCTCCGCGACACTCCTCCGCGGCCTCACAACCCCACCCCCGGACTCATCCACATCAAAAAACAACAGTAGATCCGGCCTCCCCCCAGCCCGAATACACACCGCAGTATCTTCCTTATCCTCCTTCTCCTCGTCCTCCAACCCCATCGCAGCCCTAGCTCGCGTCGAAACACACTCATACAATAACTCGGCATCTTCCACCGTCCCGGCCTGGTAAACACCAACCCCCAAACAGGCCATTCCGAGTGGATCAACAGATCCCCACGGCGTGAATGCGTTGCCGACGTTATTCACTCCCAGGACCACGTCGAGACCATATCGTCTGATGAGCTCGGGGACTCGTAACGTGCCGCGGACTCTATCGCCGTGTTTGGAATGACAACTAGGACCAGAACCAGGAGAAACAGAATCACAACAAGAAACAGAAGGAGAAACAGGAGCAGGAGGCGAAGCCATATACAAATCACTCGTGGGCAGTCCCACAAAACTAACGGGCAAAGCATGGTCACCGGTGCCGATCTGCGTCGTTAGTCGTTTCCACTCGTCGTCCCCGAACAGGGTGAACCGAGTACAATGGCCCAACATGACCCTCTTTCTAGTCTTGGATTTGGTCCACCCTACGTCCCGTAAGCATTGCAGGACGAACCAGACCAAGGCGCCCTTGGACGGATCGAGGTGGTAATCGAGGTGGAAATCGACATGTTTGTCCATGTCCCAGGCGGTGGTGATGGCCCATCGGATGTTTTGTTTCGCCGTCTCCAGATCGGCTTCCACGTAGGGCGTGACGCCGATGACATCGAGTTGGGCCCCATGTTCTGTCAAGGCGGAGTGCATGAGGTCGCGGTTGGCTTGAGCGTGAGGGCCGGAGAAGAGCGGGTCTTGGGCAAATGCTACGAGTTGGATGTGGCAGTGGTTGCGCCATGAGTATTTTAGTTGGATTCCGGTGGTGAGGCATTTATGCTGGACTGTGGTGTCGATCTCGATGAAGGCGCGCAGGGCGGTTACGCCGTTGAGGATGGATTCGGATAAGAGCCATTCGCCGCGGCGGTGGAGGTCGGGCTCGGTGAAGTTGGCTTTGGCTTGGGCGGTTAGACTCAGAGCTTCTTGGAAGGAGCCTGTCTGAGGATGGATGGTGGTGGAGTTGTGGATGTAGGCTTTGTCGAGGTGGATGTGGGGGTGGGTGAGGGCCGGGAGGGCCAGAGGCGGATGCGATTTGTTTGGGGAAGTGTTCGATTGAGAGTGAGGAACTACGGAGCTGAAGGCATGTTCACCGGAGATGGTGAGGTCGTATGTTGTTGGATTGGGACTGTTGGTGTGTAGACGGACGTTGGAGATGGTTTGGATTGCGGGGGAAAGCTGCGGTGGTGACATCTTGCGTGCAGTCGGGTCACGGTCGATCAAGACAGCAGAGCCCTAGTACTTCTATAGAAACCGTTTGCGATCAAATACACTACGGAGCTGTGGGGAAGCAAGCGAATCCAACGATATGAATAATAGCATCGTGTCATTGCTAGCCGACTATGAATACATACGGGAAAGATATCCGACGGCGGAGGTCTCCGGTCCTTGAGTTATCTGTTTCATGCTCCTTATCTTCTCCATGCCTGTTGATAAAGGGCGCTATTCAAGAGCCAGCTCCATGATCTGCCACCGTGGAGCACGCAACCAGTCGAAATCTTCATGTCGTTCCGGGCGTACACACAATCCGACCCGCCGAAAGACGGGCGTCGCATCTGTGGTGGTCTTCGGATCCCCCCTCAGAAGCAGCCCTGATCGATGGGTGATGGGGAGCAAGATGCTATCCTCGGGGAAGGTAGCGTCAGAGTCCAGGTGGATCGCTGGATCCGCTGGATTGGTGTTTCTGGACTGTTCGTTCAACCTCCCTGCGTTCATGAGCACCTTTCCTTTGATGACGATTCTGCCCGACAACACTCGACCATACTTGTTAACCGGGTCCTCCAATGTCGTTGATGCCTCTCGCACCTTGCATGGGTAAGTTCTTTGAGGTGGCCATGTCATTCTTGCCGACCAACTGGCATCGTCGTCTTCAAATTCAAAATCAACCGGACCGTCCCACGAGGCCCACGACCAGGATGGCCCATCAATGCGTCGATCTGGGCCGATAGAGTTACCCCCACGGTACCAGAGGAGACCACGGTATATATCGCATCTCCATATTCCGCCAAGGTAAGGTCCAAGATGATGGCCTGGGAAACCTTGTTCAAACACCGCGGCCAGCCCCGATATGGCTGGAAGCTTGTCCTCGGCCGCGTATGTCAGGGTACGCCTGGTATAGGTTTGCACCATCTGACGCCATTGACGTAAAGTGAGCTTCGAATTCAAGAATGGGTAGCCGGTTATCAAGGGCTTATCAAATTCTTCCCCGGAAAATCCAAAAGGCCTGTCGTTTCTCGCCCACATCTCCGCACACTTCCAGACCAAATGGTGTTGTCCACAGTACAAGCGTCGTAGGGAGAGCTGCTCCTCTTGGTAAATCCAACCCCGTGTTTGAGTGACGCCTTCGAGCTCGTAGACATCAGCGAGTCCCCCATCCTCCTCATGGACATACATTCGTCCCTCGACCCGGCATGCATAATCCACCAGATTAGTAGGTACGTACGCCGTGGTGCATTGTCCACTGCCATTTGCTGATGTGAAGGCATTAATGGTGATATCGGCGTGTCGGTACACATCGCCCATCTTTGCAGATTCCCTAGCCCAGTCGTGATCGTCATCCTGGAGGATACAAAGGGCGTCAATCCAGATATGTTGGAGTCCAATCCCGATGGTAATTTCAAATGCTTCACGAAATGTGCGTGATAGCTCAGAAAGATCGATCCCCTTCTTGAGGAGTTCCAGGTTTTGTGTGGTGAGTCTTAATGAGGTTGAAGAAGACCAGCGATGACTGAGAGCAGCGTAGCGGGCCTCTTCCCCGTTTGTAACAAGTAGCCTGGCTTTCAATTCTTCGTGGATTACCTGGAGTTGAATAACCCTGGTTGGGAGTACGGAGCCAGTCCGTCTGCAGGACAGGTGTGATTGATCACATATTGAGATCCAATGCCTGGCGAAATCACTCGTACGCCCTTCAGAGCGAACAGTGGGTGGAAGAGGACTTTCTGCACGTTGTGCAAATGAGACCGAAAGCTTAGCAGGTTCGCAGCCTGGGGCTCCGAACAAAAGCACCCATCTGCCAGCTTCCATACGATGTGATACGTAGGTGACTGCGTCTAACTGATCGAGGTCCCATCTCTTCTGCGCTGACTCGATTCTGCTTTTCCATTCGGTGCTCGCCTTGTCGAAGCTCAGATGATATTCTTGCCATCGGGGTATGTGCACTGTCCTCTCTCCACGGCTAAACATGGCAACGCATATCAAAGCGCATAGATGACAGCCTTCATATGCCGACTTGAGATGGCTATACATTGTACTGAATCGACGTCGTTGGTGCCTCGGTAGCCAGCTGCTTTTCCCACGGTGCATTTGCTTCCAGAGAGTTGCCCAGGGAAAGGCTTGGCATGTTGAGCAGAGTCGGTCAATGTTATGGGTTGCCCTAAGAGCAGGCGGCATGCTTTGGTTCCTTTCAGGCAGTGATATAGTCCATCTCTCGGCGTGTAGCCATGTGAACATCTGCTGGACAGGATCAAGTGCTTCTGTGGACACTTGTGGCCGCGAGGGTCCTTCCTCCGGCTGCTCAGAAGAATCAAATGTTTCTTGGACCATTGGAGACTCTGAAGACTCTTGGTCTGCCTGCGAAAGGTCTTTGGGCATTCGACGCTGCGAAGGACCAGGATCCATCTTGCGGAATTCGTAGAGATGAGGTCTTTGTTTTGGATGGAGTCAACTGAATTAGTCTGGGCAGCTCCAAAGTACCGTACGTTGCGAGTAAAAGATAACAGAGGGTGATAATTAATGGGTGTTAACGATAGAGAGGATATCTGGTGGTTCAGTAATGAATAGGGGGGTGTATGGAAGATCGTAAACGAGTAAAGTGATCAATTGACGGGGGAAGTCGAATTCAGTGGCCGGACGAGAGACGCAGCTGGAAGGAAGGTACGATCTTCGCCACGGTCAGCACTGGAAGCTACAACTGGGAAGAACTTGCTCTCAAGAAGGAAAGAAGCAGTCCTCACGTCATCTACGGACATCTGAACCTGCCACTCCCAGGGACCTGCTTGGCGATCTGCAGGGAGAGCATTTATAGCGCTTGTATTATATCAGAACAATTGTACAGAGAATAGAAGGTTCGGTGACAAGAGTCTTCGGCCATGTTGGCCTTGGAAGTGGTCTTCGCTAAAACTTCCTATGATGATATACATTCTACTTCATATAGGTGATATTGTTATTGCAGACGGTAATCTGGTTGACGTCTCTTAGGGTTCTGGAAGCTTAGGTCATTCTATCGTAGACCTACTACTAGGACTAGGTATGTTATTACCATGGAACCTTCACCTAATAAATTCACAGTCTCTTAGTTGATTCCTCTTTGTTCTCTACTCTCTACTTTTATTCATCTACTTTATCTTTGCTTTTCCTTCCTCGATTATTCTCGATCTGAGACACTACTGCCACCATTACCATGTCTCCAGGAAGTCCATAGAGCAAAGTTTCTACAAGTGAGAGTGTCTCTTCTATTGCCCCCAAATCTCATATCCCACCCGCCACTGCCCAGAAGTTATTTTATTCTTTACAGAAGAGAAGACTAGATACAAAAGGACCTTCCTATTTTGAGCTGGGGAGTATTCCCCCCGAAACAGGCCACTTAATAGCAAGAAGCCTATGTGAAGACGGCGATGTGGAGAGGAAGAGTATCACTATCTCATTTGACCCTATAGTTAAGATAATCTCTATCAAGATGCTGTCCCCCGCCCATGAGGCTGTTCATGACTGGGTTGGAGATCAGAACCTGCAGCTTCAATAAGGGGCTTCTTTACTTTTACTGAGCTGCGGGATATTTCAGTTTACGGGTCCAGACGTACGAAAGTTGATATTCCCTATGACTGAGCTATGCTGATAACAGATATAGGTTATGATAGGTTTCCGGTCCCTTGGGACAGTATGTACAAGGAACCCGATACTGTAATTGTCTTAATAGGAGCACCTATGCCTATGATCACAGTAGAAGTCGGATATACCGAGTCATGGCCCAAGTTCCTGCGAGACGAGGACCTGTGGATCAATGGGGAAGCACCGCATGTAAATGCGGTGCTCCTGGTTAAATGGAATCTAACAAAGAATAACCTGGTTGCTAGTTTTCTCGAACTGCGTCGTCGCGGTGCTCCCTCTCCTTCCCATCTAGTAAGTATTATTAATTAGTATCAATATTTCTAATAGCTTTATTGCTTGGAAAGCGGCTAACCAGTGGTCTCTATTCTAGACAATATTTCCAGCCCTGCCTCCTGGAGCCTCCGCCCAAACACTCGCCTGGCAGCGCCGGGATTTTTACCCAGTGGGTCAGGTCCACCTGGAAATCCGATTGAAATATGCCTATGGGATCTCTGGATACTCTTCGAGACGGAGCACATCGCATTCTGGCTGAGGGCTTATCGCCAGCGGCATAGCCCAGTCGTATCATTATTATCACCCTCACTGGGTGATGTTCTTGCAGCATTCCCCTTGCTGACAGGGCACTGGAGCTTCCAGAAATGCTCGGACCTATGTTTCATCTTTTAGTTAGGTTACTTGGGTTGTAGGCTGCACAATAAATATGTAAATAGGAGTGCATTCTATTATTTTCTAGATATTTAATACTAGTCTAACTGTCTCTCTTATACTTCTGTTGCTCGCATATGCGTTCCAGTACCGCTCCAGAGCTCCAGGAACATACACTGTAGTATCGTATCACATACTAGAAGCACAGGCCTTCACTGTAGATCATTGTAGCTACTCAAGATGACGTAAAAGTAATCCTTGTGGCTTGGTAGCAATTGGCGATGGAGCTCATCATCCAGGAGAAGACCATTTTATGAGAGCGAGGGATAGACGGTGCGTTATCTTCTGAGGCCCATTTCGGTGAGAGGGTTTTTGCGCTGGGTATTAGTACCAGAGGATATAATTTGTTATGAAAAGTAGTGAGACAGTTTACATTTGCGAAGATAACGTGTCAGATCATCAATCCTCCAGCTTCAGTATATCTCTATACCTCTCACCCAAACAAGGAGCAAGCAATGTTTTTTCAAACGCATCCAACTTCCCCAAGACCCGCCCATTCTCAAAAGCCCTCGCAAAGTCTCCATAAAGCACCGTGTCCGAGCCCAAGCGATGCGACTGGGCCAGCCACGAAGCATCCGTAGTCAAATCCCACAGCGTAGCCCCAGAAGTGAAGGGCAGGATACTCAACGCCCGAACAATCGTACAGCGCCCCACCTTCAGCACCGAATACAACCCTTCAATCAGTATAGAAACGATAACAGTTCTCCGAATGCTCTCTGCGAGGATCCATTCCCGCCATGTTGGCGCGGCGGGGCCTAGTTCGCCAGTACGAACTTGTAACTGCATGGTCCAGGCTCGCAGCGTATCCATGTTCTGTTCCGCCAGTGAGCGCTGGCGGATGTCGCCGTCGAAAAGCTGGATGATGTGGAATATCAGTAGGGCCTGTACTACCGCGAGCAGCTCCTCGAGGGTGTTTTCTGGGTGATGCTGGTTCAAGAGATTGGCCGTCTTGGCTTCCATGATACGGAATATCGTATCTTCGGTTTCTGGTGTTCTGGTATAATAGGATGCGGACACGGTGAAGGCATCTTGGATTGCTTCGGGGAGGTAGACGTCGTATAAGCGATGATGGATGAATGGCGCTCTCCGGGAGCGAGCGAACGTCCGTGGATAGCTCTTGATGCTTTGCAGAAGCTGCTGAGTGGACCATTTGTCGATAGATGAGGTCTCTGGGAAATAGCCCGCTGGGAGCAATGTTGGGACAGCGGATAGAGAAGGGCTAGGTGTAAGCCACGAGGCGATCAAGTCCGTATCATTGAATAGAGTGAAGTCATCTGGTGAAAAGGCTGCAGGGATATCATCCACGAAGGGTGGTGATGATGACCACGGTAGAAGTCTGGGAGACTGCCGTCTTTGCTGTTGGCGCTGTCTGATGTAGATGCATTCCAGCCCGCGGGCAAGACACCGTGAGCACTGCGGAGTTTGGCGGTCGCAGCGCCGTTTCCCTCCAGCGCATGCGACGCATGACTTCTGTCGAGAGCGATTAGAAGGCAATGTGCGGGGCATTTCTTCGAATCGTGGGTAGTTGTGAGGTTGAAAGGAACGATGACGCATAAGATGGCGGTTGAGGACCAAACTCCGCAGCAAAAGTCCGCTGCCCCCACCGCGAAGTCCGCAGGGCTGTCCATTGGCATTGGATGATTCAATTCGCAGACTTATGGGATCATAGATTGTATTAGTCAAGTCCGCAAGGAACATGGGATTTTGTCGTGAGATATGGGGTACGGTGAACGTACATAAAAGGGCGTTGTTGCCCTGAGTCTGAATGATCCTTGTTTCATGCCAACAAGAAACATCTCTTCCACGACAATGGCCATCACTGAACTCATTTTCCCAGCGATCAAGACTGATCCAGGCTCGCTCAGAGAAATCGAACAAGACTGGCCGATAATCAGCAAAAGATTGACACACCCTAATCCTGGGTTGCTTAATGCCTATCGCGGCTTTCTCCTCACTGAGAACGGAGAAGATGTGAGAAATTCTCACAGAGAGTTCCTTCTATTTGGTGAGTATACTTGACTTACCACCTGGAAAGGTTTTGAACCTGATTTGATTATAGAGTGGGTTAAAGCGGAATGCTTCCATGCCTTCATAAAGTCCGACCAATTCGGCAGCTTTGCTGCTTCAATCAAGCATCTGGTGAATGGGCCGCCGACGCTACAACTCTTTAAAACCAATATTAGCCCGAGAGAGGCAGCTTCAGCCTCCGTTGTTGAGATCATTCGGCTGAGTATCTCAGACCCTGAGAACGCCGAGACATCAACCCAGACATGGGAACGGATCTCTCGCTTTCTTAGTGGGAAGGCTTCTGTCACGTACGGACCAAGTTCCAATCTTGAGAACGATATGGTTGCCGGCATCATAGGATGGCATGACATAGAGGTAAGACCGAGCCATGAACATTCCTTTGATCCTCTGCACCGCATCGCTTTGCTTAGATTGAACAGACTCGATCTCAGATAATCCAAGACTCCGAATACACAGAAGCGCTCAACTTACTCCAGTCCCTGGGCGACGTCAACCAGATTACCGTCGACATCGATGTAATGGAACTACCGCCGCTGTGAAGTATACTGTATAAGGTGGAAACAGTCTATATATCGGGATTCAGCGGTTTCTTAACCATCCTCCATATATCATATCTTCACTCTTGTTTTACTCGTGTTTGGCGGCATCTACAATAATCTACAATTAAATACCGTGCTTCTAGTCTGCGATGTAATACTGCGGTATAATATTACCCTATTTCTAGGACTCTAGAGTAGTATAGAAACAATACTATACAGAATAGTATATTCAGGCAATAGAAGTATAAGAGAGACAGTAGCCTAATATCAGATATTCATAAAACAACGGATTATATATATAGTTATATACTTATTATACAGTTTATAACCCAAGTAATTTAATCAAAAATAAATTAGGGCGAATCTGACATACAAGCCCGAGCCTGTCTGAAAGCTCCAGAACCCTGTCAGCAAGGGGAAGACATGACGATATGCAGTACTACTAGTACACAGCATAGGTCTAAAGCCAATGAAGGAAGCGCAAGACTTAGTCTGAAACATAGGGAACAGTTATTCCAAATATAAGAGGTCGTAGGATAAAATCTGAGGTCCTTGTGCACCGCAGATATGTGATGTGGTGGGTTTCACAGCATATATGCAGTGGGCCTTACTATCACTTCTGGGCGCTTGTATAGTAGTAACACGTAGCGCGACTTTGTACAATCTAGAGTATGAATTTGTCTATCCTAAAAGGTTAAAGTAATGATCTAATGGAACTTGTAACCCGTAGACAATAGCAATGTTTGTCTGACTATTAACACGAGGTCATATAAATATATATAGCAGACAGCATTGTCCAATCTACCACATCTGGAGACAGTCGAGTCAGGAAAATTTCCACTAAAAGAATGGCCCAAATACGCACAACCCAAGAAATCCCTTTTCCAACTCTCCGATCCCTTCTATCTATGGCTGTAAGAATTGTTGCGGTCCAACCTCGCGGTACCTGAATCCACCCCAAACGGCATAGCGCCACTAATCCAACAGCTTATCGCAAGACACAAGCTACGTTATTTATCAACAGACCCAAAACCACCACCAGCACAAACACAAACACCATTGAACACCAACAATGCCCCCCAAGCCCCAATAAACCATTTCAGCGAACCAACCCCCATATATCCAAAATGCCCCCAACCAAACGTATCCTCACGACCGCCGCCCCGCGCACCACCGCATCACAAACCCCGAAATGGCACTCCGCATTAACGATCGACCTCATCCTCAGCGTCCTACGTCGCACAATCCTGCACCCCTGGCCGGCCTGGATTCTGGTGCTCAGCCTGCGCGCCCAGGTTACACCAGTCACTGATCTGGCGTTTATTATTGCGACGGGGTATGCGGTTTTGTTGACGCTGGTTGCGATCGCGGGGGTGGTGAATGCGCGGGTTGCGTATGGGTTGCCGAGGACGGTGGAGTTGGGTGAGGAGGTGGTTGTTATTACTGGGGGGGCGAGTGGGTTGGGGTTGTTGATTGCGGAGATTTATGCGATGAGGGGTGTTGGGGTTGCGGTTTTGGATTTGAAGGATGAGAGGGAGGTCGAGCTTGGAGAGGGCGTGGAGTATTATACTTGTGATGTTGGGAAGAGGGAGGCATTGGAGGGTGTGCTTGTGAGGATTGAGAAGGAGGTTGGTTTTTCCCTTTTGCTTGTTTCTTCTTGGATTGCTTTGCTTTTTATCTACTTGGTTCATGTCTAGAGTAGAGGGTCAAGGTGTTTATTGGGGGGGGGGTTTTTTTTTTTGGTATTCGTTCCTATTTACAAGATGCTGATTCCCCAACAGTTAGGCACCCCTACAGTTCTTATTAACTGTGCTGCGGCGCGCATCAACGGTCAGCCGCTTTTATCGCTCTCCGCCGAGGCATTCCAGAAAACCATCCAGACCAACTTGTTCGCGGTGTTCCATACCTGCCAGACATTCCTGCCTCGCATGCTGGCTGCTCCGAATGGCGGTACGATCGTGAATGTCAGTTCGGTCTTGGGCCAGTTGTGTCCGGCGGGTCTGGCGGATTACTCGACCAGCAAGGCCGGCCTGAGTGCGCTCCATCGGACGTTAGAGGCGGAGCTTCGTGTGTCGGGAGATGATGAGAAGGTGAAAATGATCTTGGTTGAACCGGGACAGGTGGCGACACCATTGTTTGCATCGGTCAAGACACCAAACAAGTTCATCGCCCCCGTTCTCGAACCGGTGCATGTTGCTCGGGAAATCGTTTCTGCGATAGAGGAAGGAAGAGGGGGTGTCATCCGACTGCCCGCGTACGCCACGATGGTGAACTGGTATGCGGTGTTGCCTGCAGGCCTACAGCGTCTTGCCCGGTTCTTGAGCGGAGTCGACCATGCTGTAGCGCAAACGACACCCCAGAAATCGCATGATGGACCGAAAGCAGCGAAAACAGAATGAGGTAACGTGCAGCCGGGTTGAACGCAGACGTCCATGGAAATAACAAGTCTGCACGATGTATATAAGTTGTCTTCCGAACCAATCCCACATATGACCGGATGTGGTATATCTCCATCCCCAGAGAAAGCGCGGTGCCTACTGCTCCGAGGTCAAGATCATCTTCTGGCGCTCGCTCTGTCTTGGTTTCAGCTTGTCCTTTCTGGTGTGCTTCCGAATGTTCTCCTGGCGTCTCTTGATCGCATTGAGTTCCTCTCTCTTGATCTCGCCGGCCTTCTTGATAGGCATTGGCACGTGACGCTGGCGCTTGATTCTTCTGATCTGGGGCATGTGTGAGTATCTTTGAATCAAAGCCTGATCGTACTCTAGCTTGGCCCGTTGACGGGCGCTCTTGATACCGCTGCGATCGGAGGCATTGGCACGCCAGAGTCGAATATTGCCGTCGTCCGACCCGGACAGAATGTATTTGTTGTCGGGTGTGAACTTAACGGAGAAGACACTGTATCCTGTTAGCCACATTGTTTGCTTCGGGGTGAGCCAAATGCACGTACCGTTGCATTCTCTTCGTGTGGTAAATATCACGCGAGTGACCTTGGGTTCTGTTCCACACACGGATCGTCCTGTCGTATGAAGCCGTCACCAACTCTTCACCCGTCGGACTGAATTCAACATCCATGACCGCCGCCACATGGTCCTTCAGCACGTTCAATGCGCGATCCATCTTCCTCATATCGAATATGTAGGCGTTGTGGTCTTCGTTGGCAACCGCGAAATTGAATGCCTCCATGGGGTTCCATGTGATGGCGTTCGACGCAAGTCGTAGGACAAGCTTGTGGAGCGGTGACGAAGTTCGGAGATCATACATGATGACAGAACGGTCGATGCCGGTCGATGCCAAGATCGACGTCTCCGTCTGGTTGAAGGCAATCGATGTGATGGTGTCGATACTGGTAGGCCAGTTGAGGGTCTGGGAGGCCGTAGATGAAGGCCGAGAGAGATCGTAGATTTGGATCTGAGACGATGACGACGCAGCAAAGGATGGAAGATGTCTATGGTGGGACAGACTGGTGAAAGCACCCTGGCCCAGATAAGTCGCGAGAGGTGGAGCATCGGACGTCGAGTTGTATGGATCAAACAACTTGACAGTCTTGTCGGTCGCGCAAGAAAGCAACTTCCGATCCGGAGTCCAGCACACATCCTTGACAATATTCTCATGGGCCTGCGTGTTCCAAACCTCGCCCTGGGTGGTCAAATCCCAGACCTTGACCACTCCATCACCACTGCCACTGGCGAAACGTTCCAACGAGCTGGGTCTTTGGCCATCGAGTATACACCGTCCACGTGGCCATCGCCAATCTGAGCCAAGAAAGGCGCGGCGAAAAGACGTTCAAGCTTGGTGGCATTGAGAGCTCGGGTATATTCTCGAGCACGTTCGAATGGATGTTGCGCCGGGTCAAGGTTTCGGGGCTGTCGAACGACAGCTGATCCCGGAGCCTGCTGCGAGGCAGTGGAGCGAGAAAGAGCTTTGATTTTCTAGCAGTTGAATAAGTATTATACTCGCCTAGAATATGTGTAAATCTGCACTTACCATGACGCCCTTACTGTGTTATACAACAAAGGTGGGAAAAAGAAGAAAATGGTTTGGCGGCGGACATAAAAAATCCAGATACTTTTTTTTGGCTGGTGATAGTGGTTCTGGTTGGTTCGCCAACCGCGGGCGGTGAGGGGCGGCTGTAGCTTAGACGGTCTCCAACAGTGACGATGCCTCTGGTGACTTATCCTCATCAGCAAGACATCTCACATCCCCTCCACCTTGAACCCGTTATATCTTTCCCGTTTCCTCGGGTCTCTCTCGTCATTTAGCTATCTCGATAACAAAACTCAAACCTACCGTTTCTCCCCACATTAAAAGACGTTCAATCATGGCGCCCTCCTCGACAACCGCTCAGCGGATAGAGGAAGCTCGGGCTCTAGCGAAGAAGGACGCTTCCAAGGCCGAGGCCATCTACAAGGACATCCTTTCTCAAGGTCCAGGATCGACGGAAGCTTCGTCGCGCGATTATGAAAGCGCTTTGGTCGGATTGGGAGAGCTTTATCGGGATGAGAAGAAGCCGAACGAGATCGCTGAGCTCATTAAGACTAGCCGGGACTCCTTCTCATCATTCGCGAAAGCTAAGACAGCAAAGCTTGGTAAGCTCGTTGGCGGCAACGCATCACTCGCCGGTCCCAATGAACTGACCCCATATAGTCCGCCAGCTACTGGACCTGTTCAGTGAGATCCCTAACACACTCGATATTCAAACCGCCGTCATCAAATCCTGCATCGACTGGGCTATCGCAGAGCGGAGATCCTTCCTTCGACAGAACCTTCAGACCCGTCTTGTGGCCATTTACATGCAGAAGCAATCCTACTATGACGCCCTTAACCTGATCAACTCCCTCCTACGCGAGCTGAAGCGATTGGATGATAAGCTTATGCTGGTCGAGGTGCAGCTGCTAGAGTCTCGGGTGTATCATGCGTTGGGCAACCAGGCCAAGGGCCGCGCTGCCTTGACAGCTTCTCGCACATCAGCCGCCTCCGTCTACACCCCTCCGAATCTGCAAGCCGGCTTGGATATGCAAAGTGGTATGCTCCACGCAGAGGATAAGGATTTTACCACCGCCTTCTCTTATTTCATCGAAGCTTTGGAGGGATACAGCTCGCTTGACGAAAGTGACAAAGCCACAGCAGCTCTCCAATACATGTTGCTTTGTAAGATTATGCTGAACCTGGGTGATGATGTGACGCATTTGCTCGGGTCCAAGCAGGCCCAGAAGTATGCTAGCCCGCGTCTCGAGGCCATGAAGGCAGTAGCCCGCGCTCACGCCAACCGGTCCCTTGAAGAATATGAAAAGGCTCTCTCGGACTACCGGTTCGAGCTGGGTAGCGATGTATTCATTCGGAATCACCTCCGCCGACTGTATGATGCCATGTTGGAGCAGAATCTGATTAAGGTCATTGAGCCCTTCAGCCGGGTTGAGCTGGATCATATCGCCAAGATGGTCGGGCTCGACACCCCGCAGGTGGAGCGGAAGCTCTCGCAGATGATCCTGGATAAGGTCATCATCGGTGTGTTAGATCAGGGCTCTGGGTGCTTGATCGTATTCGACGAGACGGAGCGCGATCAGGCTTATGACGCTGCTCTGGAGACCATCGAGAAATTGAGCAACGTGGTGGAAGAGTTGTACACTAATCAGGCATCCCAGCTGGAGTAAATGCCCCCGCTGGTTTTTGAAAGTTATGTTTGGGAAATGATATAGCATTACAGACATAAATCCGGTGCAGGATAGACGGTGGAGTCACGAATACACGTAAATTTTCCTCATGATGAAGATCTGATAGTAGTTTAGTAGGGAAAACAGGTCAATGATGTCGATGCTTTTGGTGTTCTGGGACATGGCCCAAACGGGTAAAGCGCGATCGCGGCAAAAGAATCGCGACTTTCAGAACTCCAAGAGACATCTTCAGTACCATCGGAGAGTTCTGTTGCATCGTCCCAGAACTCCTTCAAACCAGACTAGGGCCCTTGCGGATTCGCTTCGCTCTGTTTAGCTAGCCACTAGTCATGAATGCTCCAATGCCGCCCACTTACGGGCGTGGGTTCCCGCAGGCCGCCCAACGGTCTCCTGCCACGCCTCGTCGCGGACCCCAAGGACCAGGTAGTCCCCACCCCTTGATTTCGTATATCTATCGCTCCTAACGTCGTCTCACACAGCTGGCCCAGCAATGCCCGTACCCATGTCACAGCACCCCGTTCCCGCTCAGTATATCCCCGCCCAGCGCAACATGCCACACCCCAATGATGCTGCTCTTCGCCGGACCCGCAAACCCACCGACAAGAACATCCCCGACGGCATCGACGATGTGGTGATCGGCGAAGGCGTACAGCAGTACAAGGACCTGCGCGATCTAGAGAAGAGATTGGACGCCGCCATCGTCCGAAAGAGACTGGACATTCAGGATTCGATCAGCAAGACCGTTAAGAAGTACCGGACGATGCGCATTTGGATTACAAACACAGTCGAGAACCAACCGTGGCAAGGTGCGGCTGGCCAGAATGGGTCAGCGACTAACCCTGGCTCAGGGCGTTACAAGGTGCGCATAGAGGGGCGGCTGCTGGATGATGATACCGATCCCACGGCCCCTGAGGATAGCGACAACGAGGGCAACGAGACACAGGCGAATGGAGATGCCATGGATCACGACGGGAAGGAGACCAAGAAGAATGCCTCGAAGCGGTCAAAGCAGCGCTTTTCGCACTTTTTCAAAACAGTCACGGTCGACTTCGACAAATCTTCAACCGCGAACCCGGAGGAGATCAAGACTGTTAACTGGAATAAGCCACAACTTCCGGCTAATACTGTAACACTACCCCCGACTGCCGATTTTGACTCTCTGCAGTTCTCTCGGGCTTCGCAGGAGAACTTGAATGTCACCGTAAGCCTTGTCAGAGATGAGACTCCAGAGCGGTATAAGCTGAGCAAAGAGCTGGCGGAAGTGCTCGATGTCGAGGAGGAAACGCGCAGCGGGATTGTGCTTGGGATTTGGGATTATATTCGCGCGATGGGTCTACAGGAGGACGAGGAGAAGCGTTTGGTCCGCTGTGATCATCGTTTGCGATCTGTATGTTTCAACTTTCCCTCATCAAGTAGTTTGGTACTAAACATCCACAGATCTTCGGCCGAGACCAGATGTTCTTCCCACAGATCCCAGAGAGCATCGGCCCTCACACCAGTCCCCTTGACCCGATCAAGCTTCCATACACCATCCGTGTCGATGAAGATTTCCACAAGGACCCCACCCCCACCGTCTACGACATCCAAGTGGCCGTGGAAGACCCGCTCCGCGCTAAGATGCTCGCTCTGACCCAGAACCCACAGTACACCGCCGGGCTGCGACAGATTTCCACTCTGGACGACCAGGTGTCACTCATCGTCCAGGCACTGACACACTCGCGTGCCAAACACTCCTTCTACACGGCGCTGAGCAAAGACCCCGCCACGTTCCTTCGTCGCTGGGTCAACTCGCAGCGCAGGGACCTCGAGACCATCCTGGGCGAGGCGACTCGCGGTGGCGGCGAAGATGCCACTGGCCCGGAGTTCCGCCGCGGAGGTGCCGATGGCGCTTGGGACTCGCCGGTGGCCCGCGAAGCGGTGCGGTACATGCTCGCGAAGCCGGAGGCCATGCCGCGGTGATTGTGGACTGGTCGTGTTTATTTAGCTATCTTCGGATTTTGGCTGGGGCGCTCATGCGGTGTTTGGTTGGGAGTGTTATGTATCCACTAGTTTTAAGTATGTGTCTATGTGAATTCAATGAATTTACTATATTCTTTAACATAGCGACCTGCATTTAATGAACCATGATATTGAATCAGAAACTTGAAAGTAACATCATAATTGTAAGTAGATGCAAAATAAACCATCTTCAAGCCCCAGCCGAAACAGATGATTACAAAATAACCATATACGAAGCAGCGCTCTACAATGCGCAACCGCATCTACCGTCTACAGCATCTCACCACTCTAACTCAACACTACCTCCTCCTCCTCACATCCCCCCCAAGATCAACATCCTTCGCAACGCCCTCCGCAAGAAACGGACTGCCCTCCTCTTCCTCAAGCGAAGCAGCAGCCTCAAGCACAACCTTCTCCACGACCTCCTCGACCGCCTCCTCCTTTTTACCCCCGTCCTTAACAGTACCCTCCTTCGGCCCCCTGAACCTCTTCAACACCGTCTCCACCATCTTCGAAAACCAATAATAGTTCAACGAATTCAACACCACATTCGCCGCAACATAGGTCCCGACAAGCCACGTCGGGACCCCGCCCGCTGTGAACCCGGCATACTTAAACACCTCCTCGTTCGCCCTCTTGCAGACCTCGTCGACGCACTTCTCTGCAAGCTTGGCTCTGTGTCCAAAGACGGCACCGTTGATGGCGCTGTCCAGGCCGACGGAGGACCCTGCCGCCACAAGGGGGGAGAGAGACCAGGTCTGGGAGAGGGCGGCCCACATGTCCTTGTAGACGAGGATGGATTGCCAGGTTCCCCAGACGAGACGGCAGGAGAAGAAGACGGAGAGGAGGAGCATGCCGTTGTACCATTGGAGCTTAGAACCGGTGAGGTTCAGTTTATCCAAGAACCAGTGGATGTTGAGGAATGGGGAGGAGAGTTCGTAGAGGATGAATGTTGGGGAGTAGAAGTTTACGAAGGGTCTCTGTGGGGGGAGTTTTTTTGTTAGTTTTTTTTCTTTCCCTTTTTTTTGGATTATCTATGGAGAGGGGGAGAGTAGAAGGGAGGTTTCTTTGTTGTATCGGATACGGATGAGGGGAAAGGATACATACAAAGCCAAAACTAAACACCCACAACGCACTGATGGCATGGAACAACATGCCCACGCCAAACATCCGAATGTGCATCGTGCTGACTATGATGTCGTAGACGAAGTATCCCTCGGCCAGGGCCTCGAGGAGGCCGCACATGCCCGTGTATCCGTAGATGCGCTCTCCGGTGTCCATGTTCTTGCGTTCTTTGTCAACGAACATGATCCACAGGGCGAGGGCGTTGATGAGCACGCTCTGGACGAGGGAGACGACGTGGACGTCCCAATTGAGCTTGGTGCGTTTGTTCAGATGTGGGTAGTGGCGGGGGAACAGGATGGGGGAGAGCCATGGCGAGAGGAAGGAGTGGATGAACTGGTAGCCGGCGAAGGCGATGATGACTTCATGGATGTGGTCTGAGAGGGCCGGGACGTTGAGATACAGGGCCCAGGGCTCGACACGGTCTCGGAGCCATGCTGGCGGAGGGGGGAAGGGGTCCAACATGCCGGCGTGGCGGCGTGGAGGCGAGGGTGGTGCGAGCAGTTGGAGAGTAGGGTTATTATCGGTGCCTAGTCGGTGATGATGTAGTGGATAGCTAAGGTAGCTTGATGGCCCCAGTATAACAGCCGAGAGCTGAGATACTGGATATAGTCGGAAAGAAAGGTTGACGTGAAATCAAGGGGACGGGTCAAACGGCGGTGTCTAGACGGACCCCAGGCCAGCCATGGTCTCGAGCTGAGGTGAGGAGAAGGTCATTTATGCATCTCAGCGATAAACTAATGAACTGCCGCGGTTGCTCGCGTGCCTTGCGGATGCCTGATTCGTGGGGCCGCCAGTTGGAAACCGTTGGGGAGGCTGACTCAGCGCCTGGTGATCGCCTCGGGTCCCGTGATTGGATCATTGGACTGGATCGACTACACTAGGCGGGATCCAGAATGCCGCCTGAGCGGTCTAGATTCTACATGAATATAGGGCTATATGAGTGCTATCAGGGACCACAGTCCTTTCTTTCATGCAGAGACACGCATATCGTCTATGTCTGTAGGTCGGTGTTGTATGCCTTCTGCGCCGGCCAATTTAACTCAAAAGTCTTGACATCACCGCCCCCGCCTATCACATGGATATCAGCGTTGCAGACATGGTTAAGCATCAGGCAAGACCTGGTCAGCAGGACAGGGGCATTTTACAACCTGTCTGGAATGGAGTCTATCTACAGGACTAGAAAGCTTCGACTACAGTGGTGCAGGGGCCGTCGTGTAGAGGACAATCGTAAATATATTATGGTAATGTATCTAGTGCTAAACAAGAATCGACATCATGTGCATTCAAAGCTAAACAAAACTATCAACAAAGGAAAGTACAAAAGAGACGAGTCTAGAACAACTCTAAACACTGCTGGAACTTGTCCGATGGAACCGTCCGTCGGTGGTATCTCAAGAATCCATATCAGACTGCACATGATCATAAGCCAACCATCAATCAGGCCACCACCTGAAGCTATCCCGCGACGCTCGCAACCCCAATCCCACTATCGCTATGTTGTCCGTAGAGCACCATTTTAGATGACTCTGAATCAAGCTCGGGGTCGTCGCCCTTAGGATCGTCATGTGTCTCCGAAGCACCGTCTCCATCATTCGCAACTGAGCGAGCGCCCTGGCCAATAATCTCAGTGGCGGTGCTGGAGCCACTCAACCGTCGATCATTAGACACAGTGCTACCTGCTCCGTACATCATACTGCCGGCATAGCTCGTTTTTCGCTCTGTACCCGCGTCGCTTTCGATGTCGCTACGGTTCTCATCCTCCTCGGGGAGCCCCTCGTTCTCTTTGTTCAGCACGGAGCTTCTGCCACCCCAGGAAGACTTGCGGTCGGAGACGTTGGACTTCACGGAGTGACTGCGCTTCAAGCTGGCAAACCCACTGCTGACACTAGACTGGCGATCGGTAGGTCCGCGGTTGCCAGTCATGTTACTCAGACTGAGGATGCGCCTCTCCTTGCCGTCCTTCGTCGGAGTAGCCGCGCCGGCCTGCGACGGTGCCTGAGACCGCTTCCTTAGTGCCATACCAACACTGCTGCTCAAGATATTCCGAGCCTCCCGTGCAGTGCTGGAATTGCTAGGGCCTCGAGCCCGAGAGCCCCGCGACTTCTTCATATTCAGACCATTGTTGGGCCGGCTGAGCAAAACACTGCGAGCGTGGTCGAGAACACCTTCCAGGATGCGTTTCTCGAGGCTGTCTGCACGATCCTCCATGACCTGCATCTCTTCGTGGCGGAGCTCGAGAGCCATCTCCAAGCTGGACAGCTCCTTGCCGAGTTTCGTAGTCTGCTTAACAAGGTCCTCCTTCTCGGCCTTCAGGGTCTGGATCATCTTCAGAAGAGACTCCTTCTCATCCTTGAGGTCGACAATTTCGGATTCCACTTGCTCTTTCTGTGCGTTTCTCCTCTCGAGCGCAACCGCAGCCTCTTCCGCCTCGCGGCGTTTGCGTTCGTTGTCTTCGGCTACGATTGCGGACTGAGCGGCAAACATCTCGGTCATCTTGCGGGACGTCTCCATGATATCCTTGTGCATCTCGTCCAGCTTCATCATCTGCGTGACGGACTGATCAGTATTGGTTGCGTGGTCGATGAGAGTATCAAGCTTGTCATGAATTGGCCCGTTGTTCTCCGCAGCGTGGTTGAGCAGCTCATCCAACTTGTCATACATCTGACTATTGGTGCTGGTCGTCTGGCTGAGGAGCTGATCAAGTTTCTCGTGCACCTGGTCGTTCGTTACCCGCTCGACCAGAATGTTCAGGGCCTCCTGCACCTTTTCATTCTTTGCATGATGCAACAGATTATCCAGCTTCTCCTGGACCTTGCTGTCATCGTACTTTTCCGGCTCGGGGGGTGGTAAAGCGGGGAACATCTGGGGAATAGTCGAAGGAAGGGCAGACAGGTCCGTCTTGATAGCCTCAGCAGACTTCTGTGAATGATCGTAATGCTGACCAACAATGTTGAGAATCTCCTGGATAGATTCCAAGACCTGGGGGTGGAACTCATGCAGCTTGCTTTCCACACGATCAGTTGCAGCTGCAGCTCGCTCAATGTCGGATCGGGCCTGTTCCTGCTGAGTCTTCACTTCGTTGTGCATCTCTTCCATCTTGTTGTAGGAGACGTCCACCTTCTCCAGGAAGGACTTGGTATCCTCAGTGATGCGCTCACAGGCCTCATTGACGCTGTCGCCCATGGTACCGATAACAAGCTTGATGTCCTCCGCAAGAGATTTGGTATTAGTTGCGGCTTCAAGGTGGGTGTTGTCACGTTCAACCGACTCCGAGAATTTTGTATCCATCGCAGTCTGCATATCGTCGTACTTGGCCATGACTTCACCCAGTTTCTCGTCGATCTTCGCTCCGAGCTCCACAATGATAGCTGCTCTGGTCTCATCCTGCTTGACAAGAGAGGCGGCGTCGCGCTCCTCTTTTTCGAGCTTGTGCGCGTCCTGTTCGCCGCGTGCCCGCTCGAACTCGCGATTGATGAGTTCTGTGAGTTCCTTAACATTTTCAACTGTCGTAAAGCTCTCCGCGGAGACTGCTAAGCCTTCCAGAAGCTGCTTCAACTCAGAGAGACCCTCACTACTTCCGTCCAGCTTGCTCTTAAGTTCATCGCCAAGTCCTTCGACCACAGCCTTGGCCTCCTCGATCTTCTCAGCAAGACCGGCGTGTTCCACTTTACGGGCTTCAAATCCTTGGGCTGTCAACTCATTCTCAGCCTCCACCTTCTCCCTGAATTCAGTTACCAGAGCGGATAGATCCTGAACCTCCGTCTTAGTAGGCAAGGTCTCAGGGTCGGGGAGCTTAAGCTCGTCGATTTGCGTCTTCACTTCGAAGATCATGGCCTCTACCGTCTGCAGGTCGGCTTTAACCAATTTCTCAGTGTCGCTCGCGCCTTCTGGGTTTTTGCCTTTCAACTCGTCGAGGGCCAGCCACATATCCTTCATGAGAGTCTCCAAAGTACCGATCTCGGACTTGGTCGGGCCCTCAGCTTCCAGGCGGGTGCTTAGTTCGAATAGGGCATCCTTCGTCTCCTTCACTATAGTTTCTAAGCTGCCAAGCTGCTCGGCTCTTGCGAGCTCATCCACAGCGGGGAACTTCATCTCGTCGAGCTGAGCCTTCGTGCTCCGCAATAAGGCCTCGATCGCCTCTGTGTCCTCCTTCTTGGCGGTTGTCTCCTCTGTAGGGTTCTCGCGCGCCACAATGCCCGTGACAGAGCCCTGGAGTTCATGTAGGCCTGCCAGGACCTCATCCAGGTGTTCTTTCTTGAGAGCGTCTGTGGCTGGTTCCGCGGCGCGCGGTGCGGATTCAATGGCTTCGACCTTCGTTTGAAGCTGGGAAATCAGAGATTTGAGCGCTTCCATGTCGCTACTAATGTCGGGCTGAGTATGTGGGATAGGTTGGTTGGCTTGATTAGCAAGCATTAGCTCTCCACCTCTAGTTGTGGTAACGTCTTCGGCGTCCAGCTGGGACTTGCGCAACATCTCGACGTCAGCTTTGAGACTGCTTAGTCCTTCTTTCAGAGTGTCGAGAAGTTCGTTGTAATCGAATTCCACTGGTCTCTCCAACAGTTTGCCCAGGTCATCCCGAATATTCCCAACACCATCATTGAAGACGTCAATCAGGTCACCAGTTGAGAACTCATTATCGCCAAGATCCCGCGAACGACTGCCCTCATCACGGAAAGTCTCGAGGTTTTCCCGTAGAGCGGCAATGATTTCGTCCTTGTCGGTCCGCTCACCGCGGAAGCTTTCAAGGTGCTCGCGAAGCGCAGCAATGATTTCATCCTTATCATTTGTCTCGCTCTTCTCACCCCGGAAGGTGTCAAAGCTCTCACGAAGGGCGGCAATGATTTCATCCTTATCACTTGTCGCGCTCTTCTCGCCCCGGAAGGTGTCAAAGCTGTCGCGAAGGGCGGCAATGA